AAAATGCAAAGGCAGGCGCGAGTTCACGTGACTGCCAGGTGCAGGGTGGGTCCCCGCTCTTGACCAGCTGTGACAGGTAGGTAGGATAGGGAACACTCGGTCAGGCTAATCTAGTCTATTGCTACGAATAGGCACTCCTCAGGTAGGGCAGGCTCTATATACAAGACGTAGCTCGAAGAGCTACAACAAAAGACGGTCGGGATCGCGATAAAATACAAAAGCAAGCGCGAGTTCACGTGACTGCCAGGTGCAGGGTGGGTCCCCGCTCTTGACCAGCTGTGACAGTTAGGTCGGGCTACGGCGGTGACGAAGACACCGGGAGAGATATAGTGCGTGGGAAGGGGATAGAGAATAGTATATATATATGAATCCGTAGAATAGGTTTAGTTACGAGAGGGGAAAGATAGATAGCTTTTTCGGATCGCTCCTTCCCTTACGCTTATACTAATGCGATAAGGTCGGGATCTATCCTAGCGTGGTCACGGATATATGGATCCTCTAGAGATGTGGTAGGGTATAGGGGTATTTAGGGGTAGCAGGGGTGGGCCTGTCTTGTGAAAGGAGGAGAAGCGTGTGTGATTAGGTGGGAGGGGGCAGGGGTTGCCTTTTCGCACGCAAAAGGGCGAGGGAATCCTAACCCCGTAGCTAACCCTAGCTTTTTATGAATTTGATGAATCCAGAGATGGCTGGTGCGATCAATGTTGAGGCTAAGGCCCGATACAACACTTATTTCGTCCCCGAGGAAGACCTTATCTACCTGCTACCTTACCTACGCGATGTGCCCGAGACCCCGGAAGAAATTGAATGTGTGACTAATGGCACATGGCCGCCGTGGCTCGATGGTTCATTCGTCCGGTGAGTTGGTTCACTCCCATGACTGAGCTGAAGGGTTGTTGACTTGGGACTACCACAAGTGTCGGCGCCGGACGCTTCACCGTCCCGCTCTCTGAGGATAGCTCCAAGCCTAGAGCCGTTCTGCAGCACTTCTTCGACGGCTTGGCGATCTTGCACAAGTTCCGCATGGTCGAAGGGCGTGTCTACTACAGGAGCCGCCACACGGCCGAGGGATTGGTGAGGAAAGCCAAAAGAGAGGGATACTTATCGACGACAATGTTTGGCCTCAATGCCAACACTCCACTAAAGGATGCCCAAGATCCATGCTCAGCTTTGCTCGGCGCTCAGGTAAGTCCAGTTGATGCTCATGATCCGAGACGCTTCAGACGCTTAGATTGACCCCATCCAAAGCAATCCCTCTATGTGCCGACTTGTTTTGTTGGTCCAGACGAAGTTAACGTGAACGTTGTGCCCCGCCGTGGAATGCATCTGCCCTTCGACCAGAACCCTTATTCTAAAGGGAAGGCCGCAAGGGATCCCGCAACAGAAGAGGTAGGTATTTCAATTTGAATTTCTCCTTCCGGCTTGCGAAAGCATCGAACAAGTACGCTGATGAGAACCAGGTTCTTGTTCACACGGATTTCAACATGCTCCAAGCTTGTGATGCTACAACTCTCGAGCCAAAGCGTATGCTCACATACGCGCAGATCGACCCACAGCTCGAGGGCTACGGTATCTGCGCCCATCCACCCAAGGACCGCAAACGAGGCCTTACCTTCAACTACCTAATCAGCCCTGATCAGGTGCTTTCCATCTTCTCATTGAACATCCGGGCAAGCCCAGTGTCGGTTTTATGAAAGACGGCGCTGCCTTGCAAACCCTGCTATATCCATTCACTGGCAATGACCGACAAATACGTTGTCTTTATTAGAAATGTGAGTATTCTTGGCTTTCTAGCCCATAAATCGGACCAAGACACGCAAAGTTGGATTGGAAGGGACGTAATGTTTTGGAGAGAAGCTGATCCTTGATCTTCTAGCCTATCCACATCGATGTCAGTGACACGACCCGAACCTTCGCCGATATGCTCCAATTTGAACCCAATACGCCAACTCAATTCTTCGTCTTGGACAAGCTTACGGGGAAGCAGTAAGTGGCTTGTTCTCATAATTGGCCCACGATCTTAATGTCGACTTTCCCCGACACTCTGACTTAACATCTGACATACCTAGCATCGCCACATACGAGCAGAAGGATGGCTTCATGTTCTTTCACTCAGTAAATGCATACGACTATCTTGACTCGGTCACAGGTCACATCAATGTCCATGTCGATTTGTGCAGCTATGAAGATGAGTATATTACATATCACGAATACAGCCTCAACAACATTGTCGACCCGGCTGGCCCATATCAGAATGGCACCCTGACGCGGTACGAGCTCGCTGCCGTAAACACCATGGACTTATCTCGTGTCGGCCGTGTGACCGTCGCTGCGGCTATCCCTGGAATGGCGGCAGAGCTCCCTCGCATTGCTAAAAGTGCATCAATGGATCCTAGCTACCGCTTCGTCTACTGCACTGCGGGGAATGGTGCTGCCTCACCTGGGACGACAGTGCCAATCGGCCGGATGGGCAACGGACTAAAGATGGTACAAGCTGCGTTTTTCGGCAGTCTAGCCAAGTCAGACTGGCAAACTGGCACGTTTAAGCGATGGCAGCCTGAAGACGGTGAGAGTTGTCCCTGCGAGCCGGTCTTTGTTCAGCGACCTGGAGCTGTGCAGGAGGACGATGGTTTAGTGTTAACGATCGTGATCAATAAGAAAGGAACGCACAGCATTCTAATTGCGCTGGATGGAAAGACATTCAAGGAGGTTGCACGGGCAGTCATGCCCCAGGTATACGCTCTGGGACCGCATGGATCATTCATTGAAGGAACTCTCGAAAGCTAGATTCGGTCAAAACCGGCCACGAAATTGTGTATCGGAAACTTCATGCGGGATCTTGTCATTCGCAGCTAAAACACGTTATTTCCTATTTTACAACACGTCAAGTTACATATACACCCTCAAACATGCGTATATACGAAACTTCTCGTTGAATAACAAAGAACCTTTCTCCATGTCGCCTTGGAAGATTCGCTTGCGAGCGGCCGAACGCCCTAGTGCTTGGTGAGCATTGTAATACCCGTGGCGGTGTTGATTCTCTCTGATAGTGGCTTTGATGGTAGAGTTGTGATCCACATTGGCAGCCATCTGGCTAGTAATCTGATAAAACTGGTTATTGGGCATACATAGATCTAGCCAAATACCTCCAGTGTCAATAGGACACCACTTCGTGTTGGAATCGTCGGGGTACTGATGGCTGTTAAGACAAAGAGACCGTAACGCAGCGAATTGCTACGCAAGTAGCAGTGCCACACTGTTCCTTTTTGGAGTAACCTTTATGTTGTGGTTTCGAAAGCGTGTGCCCAATAGCTACTATCGACGTCACTCAGATCCCAATAGACGCCGCCGTATTCGCCGCTAATAACGTCATACTCGTACTAGAGAACCCCGTCGGGGAAGCCATTCTCTGAGATTTTGAAGCTTGTGTTAACTCTATCTGTAATGTATCCCAGGCCGAGAACGGACTGATACACTTTGGAGGTTGTGTGGCCATTCAACCAAGATGCATCTGCGCTGTGTGTTGTCGGACACGTGACCGCTTTGGTGGAGGCACGGCCCGAGTTAGTGTGTATGTGTGCAAGTGTTCATAATCGAGGAAATAGTAGGTCTTTTTGGGGCCTAGAAAAGGCTATTTGAATTGATGATCAAGAGGCTGATTTTAAGGCCTTTTGCTGTGTGTTCGTTTGTTGTTGTTGTTCGTTGTTGTTGTTGATTCCTTCATTCCAGCCATCTCCAGACCCCTCTTTGCTTAGTCACCGCGGTCCGACCCCTTTCGGTCTGACATGTGTGGGTGTCACGTGCTGGTCACGTACACGCACGGGTTCGATAGCGATAAGATAGCATTGATAACGCCGCAGCCAATCAGGCTGCGCGCACACGATCCGAGGAGCAGCCGCGCCATGCCTATTTAGGCTGACCGACTGGCTGCCCAAGGACGTTTGAATTAATCATCCCTTTTCCACCTGTTTGATCTGCCTTTTTATCTACTATAGTGCGGCGGATGCGAGGCAAATAGGTGATTCGCGGTAGTGAGGCTTAACAGCTCCGGTTATTATTCAGTACAGTGACGGTAATCTAAACGTTAATAATTGTATTAGCGTTAAAAAGAAGACTAATCGCACGTCGGCCAGCCTGCCATGCCAAAAATAAGTCAGGCATACTCTGAAATGCCTTGGGTTAACATTTGCTGGTGCCTACGTCCTGTTAGGCGAGGATCAGCTGTACAAATAGTTATGTCAACTCTCGTCAGCGTTTCATAATAAGCCCCAGCACAGCCCCCATGACAAGAGCATTCATCCCCTATATCCAGTCATTCACATCGACACCTTGTGGACAAGGGTGGGGTATGGACAGGGGTCTGCTGGAATCGTGGGGCTGTGTCCAAAAGTCGAAGTGGCAGAGTGCTGCTTTAAATAGGGTATACATGTGGGCTGTCGTGTCGAAGCCAAGGCTAGGCATTCCAACGGCCTCCGTCAAGATCAACACATATATTGACATTTGCTTCATCAAGCAAACCATATTTTCATTTACTATTCTTCGACTATCATAATACTCCTGTTCCAATCAAACTCCAAATCAAGTCTTCTCATCAAGCTCCACTGAATCGCGTTCAGCCTGGTACCTTGATAGCATCCATCAGCATGGCGAACGAGTATATCGCCATACCTGCTGTACTGGGAACCCTTGCGCTCGCAGCGTTCATCTGGAAGCAGTACTATGTTCGAACGCGCATGGCCCCTCTGCGCAAAGCCATGGCCAACCTCGTCCCACTGGAAATCCGTCCTCCGAAAGGCATCGACCCGATGACGGACGCGTACCAGGGCCACGTTCAAGCAGAGGTGCGCAAAGATACACAGCGCAAGTTACAGGCGCGTCTGGTTGAGGAGAGCTACAGCAACAGACGCGGGGAGCAGGTATGGCTCGCCTACGAGGCGTATGCGACGGGCGATAGGCGATTCTCCCTAGTCACTGGGGATAGCAAGTGGGGGCTCATAGCGCCCTCGGAGATGAAACTGACCAATGCTATGCTTCGGCCTTCCGTCGCACAGAGGACGGTGGAAGAGGAACGGATATTGCATGCTCTAACGCCTTGGCGCAGGAACAAGGGGACCACGGCCAGTCTCCTGAGCCTCGTCGGCTGGACTACCATGTCTACTCAGGACATCACGGCGGCCTCGGACGCTCTCATTGCTAAGCTCGGCAAGGATGGGGCCATCCACGAGAGCAAGGAGCACAAGTTCGTCTTCGACCTCGCTTCTAGCATGATTGAGCCCGCCAACCGCGCTGAGGACTGGAACTGGCTTTGCGTGTGCACCACGACGGAGCGCAGGTTCCCTGCTAAGAAAACGCCGTACACGCCGCCGGCTGCCGTAGCCGCCACGTGGCTGCATAGGATGAGAATGCCATCGAGGAACCTCTTTACGTCCCAGCAAGTGAAGACGATGGAGCAGAATGCGGCTCTTTTGGAGAAGCATATCGCGGAAAAGGAGGAGGACTACGTCATAACCATCATCAACAAGCATGGAAAAGCGAGCGCACGCATAGAGCCAGCCGGCAGTAGACGGGACGATCTAGAGATGGGAGATACGCAGGTAGCGAATGCATGGAAAGGGTATTCGGACTTCGAAGTAGCCTTGGGAGCAGGTCCTGGAGGAGACGCCAGAGGCGGGGGTAGTTCGAACAACTCTTGTGGCAATGGCGCCGGTGGTGGTGATGGGGGAAACGGTGGAGGCGGCGGCGATGGAGGTGGCGGGGGAGATGGAGGTATTTAGATCAAAAGAGCATCGTCCACAGGCACCCAAAAAGGACTTCTGGCGCACTGTACCAGTGTGACCGGATAGCGGAAAGGTGACCTTGGTTTTCCAAGCCTAGGAAGAAGAGTTTGAAATCAATTCGGTTAACAGCCCTCTGCCCTGCAGCGGACCAGAATCGCTCTAAGAAATATAGTTATCACGTCTGCCTTCTGCCCGGGAGTGCCTTGGCTGTTTGAAGCCTTTTTGTCTTTTGGCAAAATCATTCACCATGTTATTATCCTCGAACGTGATCATGATATTATCGTCCTTGATATCTCGTATACAAATTAGAGTTATCAGTCAGTATCGTCTGGGGAGAACTTACTAGTATGAATTAGGTGATATGCTGAGTGCAGATAGTCAAGCGCTCCAAGAAAGACGTAGAGTTTGAATAGCTTCAACGGCACTTTGCTGCCAGGGAGCCGACGTTGGACTTCCAATAGTATTTCTCGTACAGGCTCATAAACTAGAAAAGAGTGAGTTCTACTGGGCCTACTAAGCTTGAAGGCTTCGAGAGGCAGTCGCAGGAAAGACAGGGTCTCGTGGAAAGCGAATACATCGGCAATGACTTTTGAATGAGCGGTCTCCCTGGCTGCATCCGTATCAATAGCAGCTATTTTGATGCTGACATATTGAGGCAATGGCGACTTCCTCTATTTCCTGCTAAAAGACATTGTTGCATGAGCAGATCCACGGGCATTAGGATCGTGGACTCGGTCCAAATAGACTTACAACTTGAGGTTTTCAGCTGGCCATAGCGTGGAGCTGCCCCCAGAATTCCCGCTTCGTTGCTCAACCTCTGTCTATCCTTGGCTGCACACCTTGTGTAGGACGCGATTATTGACAAAAATACATACCGAAGAGGTTCGGACGAGGCGATTCGCCTCGTATTTGGGGACTTTCTGGTAAATGGCCTAGCTCCTGGTTCCGAGCTATCAATACTCAGGACTTTGTTCCTCTAAATCTAGTCCGGCCTCCGCCTCGCTCTCCGTCGCGTTACTCGCAATCCTGCTATCCTGGCGCAGCTCAGTGCAGTACGTATGGTATGTGAAGATCTTATCAAGATTATCAGGAAGCCAATTCTCTCCTGCCATACTTTTGTCGCCGTGAGACTTCTTCATATCGCAATAGCAAGGACTTGACTGCGCCGCATCAACTCCACGGTAGTCTTTGTCCTGCTGCTTGACAGTGAAAACGGAGAGGTTCGAGAAACAGCGAGGAGGTTTCTTGAATGGATCAAGGGGCGTGTCGAAATCGATCGTAGCAATGCCATAGTAGTCGCTGTAGTGTTTCTGGCAGTTGAGTGAGGTTTCGTACATGGTTGTGAAACTTATGAGAGGCGTATCATGCGCACCTTTCAAGAATTTCAGCTTGTCATCATCAATCGGGGTTGAATACTGAACGCACTTATTCCGGGAGGAAACACCGTCAAAGCCGCCGTTCTGATGCTCCAAGGTATAGCAAATGCCGCCAATGAGCTCTTCGCTATTCATTCCTTCGCACTGCGCCTTTGGGTAACCATCTCTGATGATGTAGTAGTTGCCCTCACCGAGCCCGTGGCTGATCATGAACCCTCGGAATACTTCATTGAAATACTTCATTGACCTTTGCGTTGACGAAGGACTCGTCAAGACCGGTAAAGTTCCAGAATCGATCATGGAAAAAGTTGACAATGAGCCTGATCTTTGCAGCGTTGTTCTTATCCGACTTGGACACGGGTATAATGAAATGTCTTGGAAGGCCCCTAGCGACCAAGAAGTGATGTCGTCGTCTCTAAAAAGCTGCTCGGGAAATGCCGTCAAATTTTCGTAGTATGTGCTCCAAATGTCGTTCATGGATTTAGCAAATCTTGAAACTGTTGCTCCCCTTCGGCGAATTTATCTTTGATTAGGCCGAGGAACGCCCCAGCGGTTCCCAGGAAAGCACCTGTGACGGGATTGGAAGGACTTAAGGCACCGCCGAGGACACCAAAGCTGTTTCCAAAATTGACCAAAAGAGATATCGCGGATGCTGAATCCGCAGGCTCTCTGCCGTTCATCGAGAGCGCCTTGTGGATGGCATCTTTATAATACGTGTTGTTCGTGAACGCCGCATTGGTAGCTCCCTTGATAAGACGAGCAGTGGACATGGCGTTGGAAATCTTCTTGATACTCCAATAGTTCCTCACCTGGCCCTTGACACATTCATTCGACCAGGTGCACTGGCCTCCACTGATCGAATGACACCCTGATCCACCAGGATGACCGGCTGCTTCCCATATCAGATCTGCCCAGTTTTCCAAGCCGTCGCCAAGCTTTTGGGCCAGGAACCTGGACACCTCACCTTTCGTGTGCTCCTGAGCCTCAGGTGACCACGTTATTATTCTGCACTCATCCAGAACTGCGAAGTCTTCGTCTTCGTCAGGAATCTGGAAGAAGATACCAGGATGTCCCATGTCGAAAGGGGAGAAGGATTCGAGATCAATGGCCCAGTGCGTCGTACCACCATAGTTCAGGCCCCTGTACTTAGACTCTCTGTTGTTCTTGTTCGTGCGGTCCATATAGGCAATCCAGTTGTTATCCCAGACTAAAACTTTTGATTCAGAGGCCTTGTCAGTTATGTGGCTCACGTTCTGTGACTTTTGCCGGTCTTGATAGCGTTGATCTCAGCGTCGGATATGTCTCCAGCCGTATCGGTGCACCATCATTTCTCAGCGTTGGAGTTCCCTGCGTCGCCGGTGAACTTGCAGTTGACTCCAATACAATTAGTGTTAGCCATGTGGAATGAACGTCCGTAGCTTGCCACGCCAACAATGACTTTACTCGCCGGTACGCCAGCTTTGGTGACCATGGCTAATGCGTTCATTGTCTCTGTCATATTGACATGGGACCTCAGGCAGTTCCCTCCTGGGCAGCCAGGGTTGACCCACGGATTCCAGCATCCCACTGACCATGAAGATCGTAGATCATATAGACGATATAGGCTATAACCTTAGCAATATCCTTAATCGGGAAACCCTTCAGGTACCAGTAGGAAGCCGGAGCCGCGATGGACAGCGTCTTGCCAGATGCCAACCGACGCTTCATCATAGTGAGGAATGCCAGATAGTCCGGTCCATTAGCAGGGTCGCCCTCCAGAATTTTCGGTAGATAAGGAGCAGCTGGGTACTCCCAGTCAATATCGACGCCGTCGAGACCATGTTTCTCAAGGAAGGCAAGAAGTTTTGTTGCAAGCTTGAGACGTTTGGCGGCCTTGACACCATCTCGGAAAATCCAGTACGTGCTGGGGTGAGTAGATGCTTTCCAACCACCGAATTCAATGACCCTCTTGATGCCTGACATCTTCTTGAATCTCTCAAACTGAGCTGTGAGGCTTTTGTTGACGTATGTCTCATATTCGGGAGAGATATCGATGAAGGAAAAGTGCATATGAGTAAAACGACTGATTTCGATGCTGTCTACATCCATATGAAGGCATTCTCTAAGGGGGTGAGTTATTGTTCACGACTTCCGTCCCACAGTTGGAAATACAGCCGTTGGTGCCAGGTTGTACGTGGCCAGGCTTGGTGCTCGTCTTGGTGCAAAACTCGCCAAGAGTGAAACAATGCCCCCAAAAGTTGCAGTAGACATTTAGCGGGGGGTGGAAGAGAAGGGAAAAACGGGGACTTCAGTGTCTGACGGAGAACATTAGAGAAAGTGGCTTGGGGCGAGGGTGGTGCTGATTGTAATCCATACCACTAGCAAGGCTCTGTTTATATACACCTTTTGCGCGACCGAAATGCAGCAGCCACTTGGAACACGGTCCGCTCGCCCAAGAATAAACAGCTCGTGAGCGAGAAGCACACGTGGGCTTCGCAAACTCCGTACTATATTGGCCCTAATGTGTTGGCTGTTATATATTTGGCTTTCTTGATCGTTGGTTGTTGGTGCCTCCTTCGACCCTGTTAGTCATGTGATGAGTATCTATGAATGTGTGGCATCTGCAGTCGCATGGCCCCCAGGAAGATGGGCCGTTCTCGACGTTTGCCTCACAACGGTCATATTCAGCTTGTGATGCCACTGCAGTCTGCAGATACCTGCAGGCGGAAATTGACTTCGTCAAAGGCTATAGACAGCACAACAGAGACACCCTCAAGCCGAACTCTGAACACGTTCGTTTCTGCCGGGCTTATTTTGCTTAAGTGGAGCTCAAATCTAGCATAAAAGGAGACAAAAGCCCTCACGTCTAATATAGCCTAGACTCTATCATTCATCAGCTTCAGCTCGTTGCCCCTCTTTTTCAAGTTTCAACGATTACAGTCGCTTGTCTCAGTTATGATGTTCAGACATCATAATCTGGCTTCAGCCTCCGGCTTCATTCTGCTCCTCACCAACGTCCATCTCGCCTCGCACTTCGAGAACCCTTCGCCGTCCTGCCCACCGACCCCAATGTCGTTGACGATTGTTCCTGGTGGCTCGACTATCTGAGACTGAGCCTTGTGCTAGTTTTCTGTCCAACAACTTTATCACTAATGAACAGTTGCGAACCTGGGCATGCTCAACTCACTCTAATAAGCTTGCAATACTGATCGCGAAGACAGAATTCATCTGTGGGTCCGAACTGCCAGGGAATGGTCGTTAACCGCTCGTACTGTGTTGAGAGCGCTGTTCAGCCGGGCCTGAACCAGAGCCGACCAGCATGAAGACTAGCACCACCAGGTCCACCACTACAACAAAGGGCCCTGCTCCAACGGACCCTGGAAACGGGTAAGTGCCACTGAGTGGGGATCATGCAGCGGGGGAAAAGTCGGGAGAGCCGAGTGTTTACCTTGTGCCAAACGTTCATGTTGCGTTGGTCAATGCAGCAAAGCCTACGGACAAGGCCCTTTCTAATTGTTCTAATTGGCAGCATCACTACTCTTCTGCCAACCCAACCCAACATGGTCAACAACTGCAACAAGTTCCAATTTGTAGAGTCCGGGAGCAGCTGTGACTCCATTCTTAGCAAGCACAGGATGACACTCGCCAACTTTGTCGAGTGGAATCAATCTGTCGGTTCCACGTGTAGGAGTCTCTGAGCAGAGGTCAACATGTGCGTGGGTGTCATCGGCTTTGTTTCTCCCCCTGCAACGACGACGTCGACCAAGACCAACGCAGGCAACGGCATCGCTACCCCGACCCCGACTCAGCCTAGCCTGCTAACCAACTGCAACAAATTTCACAAGGTCAAGTCTGGGGAGATCTGCGCTACCATTGCTACAAAATACGCGATCCCTCTAGCCAAATTCCTACAATGGAACCCAAAAGCAGGTAACAACTGCGTCGGTCTCTGGAAGGATGCCTATGCCTGTGTGAGCGTCATTGGCTACAAGCCTCCAACGACTCCTACGACCACTAGCAACGGCATTGCGACGCCGACGCCAATTCAGGATGGCATGATCAGGAACTGCAAGAAATTCCACCTCTTGAAAACCGGTCAGACTTGCGAGACTATCCAGAAACAATACAAGGTTACATTGGCCAGCCTCATCAAGTGGAACCCTGCCATAGGATCGGACTGCAGGAGCCTCTGGGCCAACACACACTTGTGCGTCGGTATCTAATGGGGAGCGTAGACTACATGTAAGGTATAATGAAGACATGGAGTTGCGGCTAGAGTCAGGGCTAACGTTTCTGTTAATTTATCTGAGCTGCAAATACTCCGTAGTGGCACTAGACAAATTTACCATTCGCCTTTAAATATTGGCCAAGTCCTAGCTCAGAAACGTGCAGATACCGCCAGATGTAGAGGAAGTACGCTCAACAGACGTCTCCTTGCACCGTTGTCTCTTACAGCCCGACCATGTTACCGCCAAATTTTCCATTACATGTGTGCATTTGATGCATTGAGGCCTGGGCGGGCAAAGTGCATCTCATCCATTGGTTCATGTAATCATATTGGCACCGCGGCATCCCGCTTCAAAATAGCAATATGGAGTGGTCGGGAGTCGATTAAACTTCCGCGCACAAGTTTCCAACCAGTGATATCGTGAAGCGAACACACGTGGGCGGCTGGGCAGCAGTCCGGCGGTGACACCCGCGATACGGGTGCCAGCAAAATTGATGCCTTTGCAAGGGCCCTTTGATTAATTGACACCGAGAGGGGAATGGTCTTGTGCCGGCCCCAGGGACGCAAATCAAGCCTCACCGAACCTACGGATACGTGGATGCCATCAATGTTGTCTTGGCTTAATTGCTGGCTCAGGTCCCGCTACGTCTTTCTGCTAATAAACATGCTACCCCACGATCATATTGTTCTCAGTGTATCTCTCGAACGAGTGCAGCCAACAGCCTGTGTATCTTCGGACACGCGGGCTGGAGCGACGCTTCTGTGGCGTCTTTGTGAACGTAAAACAGTTTATCAGCGTATGCCGTGAATTGCGCCTGGCAGGGGCCAGGTGTGAGGTTACATTGTGTTTACATCAAAAATACAACGAATGCTCATTTCGGTCCGTTCTAGGCTGTTGGTCGCGGCCTGCATGTGACCTGGACGGAAACAGTATCATTCGAAGGGCCCTTTTTCTTCAGTTTTTCGGGGTCTTTGAAGGTCCTCATCGCTTCCAAGTTCTTTCCCAGTTGGCCAGCAATTTTAGTCTCGCGATTCAGTTCAACTTGAATCTCATGGAACGGATTGCAACCGCCCTCTTGTTGACGTTGGCATTGACCATTGGTCGTGCAGGTAAGTGACTTGAAGTCTCGTTGTTTCATGATTGGAAGACCGTTACGCCAGCTGCTTACTGTTTTCAAACGTTGACAGGTCTCGCCCTTGCTCAAGACTGTGAAAAAGAGATCTTCCGCATCGGCATCCAGGAGGATGCGGATGCTCTAATTAATTGTGCCACTTTAACCGGTGATGTGGTTATCGCAGCTACAGCCAAGGGCTCAATCGACTTGGATGGCATCGAAAAGATAGACGGTAACTTGTCAAACGAAGCCTGCTTCGATAGTGCCGATGACTACGACAACGACCGCCTGCGAGACCTTCTCGACGGCGATTTTGACGGCTGGAAGAAGAGCTGCCGAGGGCTTGTCGAACTTTCCAGTAACACTCTGACGTATATTGAAGGAGCCTGGACCCTCCGGGCACTCGTGGACATTGCCAGTATCAATTTCAAGAAACTCAAAGTTCTTGACGGGGTTCCTGACAATCGAGTATCTACCTGGCGTTGAGCAATTGAACCTTCGAAGGCTCACTTGTGTTGAAAGCATCTTCGTTCGTCACAATCGACAGATGACTAGCCTGAACATTGACGGAGTGGATCGCATGACCGGCAAGTTCCATTCAGTAGAACTGGTTGATCTCGGCATCTCCGAGTGGCCTGCTTTCAGACTTATCAAGATCCAAGACATGTCTACGGACACGTTGGATACCCCTGATTTCGACAACCCAATCAAAGCCGAAGGTCGGATGCGAATTGACACCATTGTAGCCAAAGACCTGCCCAACATTTCCCTCTTCCAGATCAGGAACTCGGACGAGATTGGTCTTCTCGAGGTTCACGGTCGCTCATGGCAAACGATAATGCTAGAGGCAGCACCCCGGAGTGACCTGTCGACTAGCATCGAGGTGCCTACTCAAGTCGTCGGCAATCTCACCATGACTGGTATCGGGCAACCTTTCAACTTCACTTTCGGCTACAGCGGTCTGTCCATCAACACTCTACACATGGTTAACAACACGATGAGGAATATCAACCTGGAGAACGTGATAGTCACTGATAATCTTTACATTGCTGGAAACCGCAATCTGACCCAAGTTCGCATGTTCGAATCCATGGTAGGGGTCGAGTTTGATAGCATTGTATTCGAGGATAACCCGAACCTGTTGGTAAAGTTGGACTCCTTTGGAAACAGTCCCCTGCATGGGTGGGCATGGGGTTTCAACGCGTCCATACTAGCGGTACGGGACTGTCCCGTGGGGACGAAATGGTTTGATTTCACGTAAGCGTCCAGGGTTCTTGTAGCCGCGTTTCTCCTTTCTGACATTCAGCAGGTACCAGGGCTCCGACACTTACATAACAAAGGAGCTCGTCATGGAGCCCTTGGGCTCCGTCAATACCTCCGAGTTTGGTGAGAGAGTGCTTGAAGATACTAAAATGGGCAAAATTGGTTTGCCGAAGGGAGGTTATAAATGTGGTAGTGACACGTACGACCCAGAGGTTAATGGTGCCGTGGCTCGTTTCGGCAAGCTTATACTAGCGCAGCTTGTTATAGGTGTCTCTGTCGGCTTATTCAGCTGAACGTTTAATATCTCTCAGTATTGAATTGGCCTCCTTACTTCGCCCTCTTTCCGTTAACGTCCTTCCTCCAAAATTCAAGCTATTCGAGATCTAGCAGACGTTCCTCGCAGCGTTGCCAGTAATAGCCCAAAATATATTTTCCGCACATGGAGATTCGCGTACAGAGTTATTATTCACTTCAACCTCAAAGAAAATGCCGCTGGTGTTCGGAAACTCGCTGCGGGCTGCAACGCGAACCTCACCCCCGCCGTTGATGACACCGTCGCGGATAGCGAGGTTGTAGCAGTTCTCGATGAGCACGGCATTGTTGCCGTTGTTTGCGAGGTCAATATACTTGATCTCTGCGGCGCCGGACATGGAGACACAGAAGATACCGCGCCCACCGCCGCGAGAGACGACGCGATCGACCCAGACGTTGGTGGTGGTGTACTCACCGTTGTCGAGCTGGCCGTTGTTGTTGGCGAAGCGGAGAGTGGCGTAGCCAGTGCCGGCAGCAACGTTATAGCCCTCGACGAGGCCGACCCAGACGTTGATAGAGTTTTGGATAAGCAGCCCGCACTCGCCAACGTTGGTGGCGTACACAGCGTTGATGTTCAGACCGTCAATGTTCCAAACCTCGACAGCGTGAGCGCCTGCGCCGGTCACGCGGATGGTGCCCATCCTGACATTGTAGTTGTAGGCGGCGTCACGATCGAAGCGGATGCCCAAGCCACCGCTGAGGTTCATTGTGACCTCCCCGAGGTTGAGGTTTCGGGTGCCAGAGATACGTAGGCCAAAGTACGGGTTGCCTGTCATCTTGAGATAGGGGACCTTAACGTCATTGACATTCTGGATTTCGATTGCGCCGCGACCGCCGCGGTAACCGGCGTTGATGGTACCGCAAACCTCAAAGGTGCGCCCAGCCGGGACAGTGATAGTGTTCGCGCCGAGGTTGCCTGATGACCAGACGACGACGCGCTGGCCGCTGCTCGTGCGATCAAGGGCCGTCTGAATGGCTAAGCGGTAGTCGGAGCCTCTGTAGACCTGGGCACCGTTGACATTGGTCTGAAAGGTGCCAGAGCCGCTGACAACAGCGTTGGCGCTGCCGTCACCGCAGGCCGCACTGACGATGTCTGTGAAGGCCAGGGCGGCCGCCACTAAGGAGGAGAGACGAAACCACATAGTGAGGTCTGACAGCGATAGAATTTTGTTCCAAATCTGCGTGGCAAAGGGCTGGGGGGGATCAATGCCGGAGTGAGGGTGGTGATCGCTCTTTTCTTCCCTCTCACGCTCGCCAGCCCATGGAATTTATACCCGCTCTCGCGTCCAGTTATTCCGTTCGCCCTCGGTGGCTCGGCCCAAAACGCTGTGTTTCTCCTTCATTAACGGGGAGGTCCCGCCAAAACGGTCTTGAGTCGACCCTGTTTGCCATTCAATTGGGTGTAGACGCCCACCAAAGTTGTAGGATGCCTGCGCACACCTGGTGCCGGCTAACCCCAGAAGGACCAACGGAGCCTCGACTGCCGGCTGGCTGATGGGTCATCTCAAGTTTCTTGGTGTCGGCACCTGCACGCCCAAATATATTGTAATGTGCTGAGGGACTTGGCTCGTCACAAGTGTCGCTACGAAGGCTTGGCTACCCCTCCCCTATAGCGATTATCCATCTTTCATTGGCTCGCCTAGGTTGCTCCATGTCCCTGCGTCAGATTAAGAATACTCCGGCAGCAACAGAGCGAGTCCGGGGAAATGAGGGGGGTATATGTCACTAAACTTTCCCCACCTCCTGTCTGGTCCGTAGCTAAGCATGTACCCCAGGCAGTTGGAGAGTGTATTGATGGGTCCCGCCGCCTCTCTCCTAGACGAGGGGGCCCAGACTCCCGGGCTAGACTCAAGGGAACACTGTGCATTCGGGAGGGCGGGCTACGGCCACGCTTCCCATGAATGATTAGGGGCGGGGCTTGACCGAGAGCTAGCAATCGTGCGCATCCGTACTCGGTGCTGATTTACATATGAATGTGATGACGGCGTCGCGACGTGAGAGTCAGCAGAGTGGGACCCAGTCTATTGCGAACAAGTTGCGGCCTTTGCACGCTTCCTGTGGGACAGTGACTGGCTTAACGCCAAGAATGAGATCATCCAACCGTATCCGCTCGAGGCGGCGATGTTTGTGTTATTACTGAGACATTTGCGTTTCTACTTGTTTAAATATTGAAGCATTGTTCCGATGCAAGCGCTCAGGTTTTGCAAGGGCGAGGGCGAGAAATGAGCCCTTAGCGACCAATATATTCTCAGACGACTCGTAACACTGCCATGGCCTTAGAAAGGAGGTGCCAGCATCAAGGGCCCCCGCTACTGCTAGACACATTCACCGGACCCCGCGTTCCAATACTTCTAAAGTTGCTGCTCGTCGTCCCACCCCGTTCGGGATTCATGATCAACGCTTCCCCGCCTCGGGGATCAACGTTATCAATGACCGATGTGGACGCCTGCTGACCTTATGTAACAGATGAGCTTTCCGCAGACTGCAGAAGGCTTAACTCTGTGAGAGTTGGGATTGTGCAATGTTCACCCTACTCAGTGCGCTTCCAGAGAGGCGCATGCTCCTCTCATTTTTCATAAAAAACGAACTATCGGCAGTGAGCGGAGGGTCTTGTATAATTTCTCTCCTGGTGGGCGAAAGCTGTATAGAACGGGAGATTCGATGATTTCAAAGAACCGGAACTAGACTGGTTCGCTGACTGTCCAACTGGTAAGCCATGTCTCTTCAGATTCTACATTGCTCACGACGTGGCAGAGGACACCAGAGCTGTTGTGATGTTTCAACGTATGTAGAGTAATGAAGGCGGCCAGGAGACATGTGCGGGTCTGCAAGAGCCAAATTGGATATGACTTTGTGGACTGCACAGAAATTTGCAGAGCTGAAGGTGATTAAGAACGGCTGTGCTGCGATTGTTTCGCTGTTGGAGCTTGGCAGTCCACTGGGAAAGTGCACGTGTATATAAAATAGGGTTTAGCACGGTGAGTACCGAGGCAGCGGAATAAGACAAAAACTAGACAGAGTATTTAATACCACAAGTGCTTCAATAATTCTGATCGCCGTTTGTACGCCAGAGGTTTCTTCTTGAGTAGTGTCAGACGACTATTAAAGCCGCCGAGTCTACGCTTCTGCCGCGCTCTTTTGACCCCCACGTATGCTGTACTACTGTCAGCGCTTAATTATCATTTGGCATATTCCCTTTGTCGCTCGAAGCCTACTCATAGGTTTGATTTCATAGGTTATAGATGTCTAACCTTGTTCGACCTAAGAAGTCACTATTGACACTCGGAAAGCTCGATTTAATTTCCGAAGGGAGTTACAGTATTCAGTGTACTATGGTATGAGAATACTCGCCTATGAATGCTTCTCACTTCCTAACAGCTACTCCTCCCTCGCTTTGAGCATAGTCTGTGTATAAGCGGAGCCCACCTTAAACCACCAGCCCGACAGCAAGATAGTGAGTCCCCCGACGACGACACAAGTGTAGTTCATGTTCTCCGCCGTGACGGGCTTCACGTATGGAAATGAGAAGAATGTGATGGCGAACGCCAGCCAGCAGACAGTGACGGTGTTGACAATCGGCCCAATAGTGCTGCCCATGTGGAATACACCTCGATACATGTTGCGGCGGCCGGTGAGCAAGTTCGTCAGAATAGGGACCATGTAGGACATGTTGTTGATTGTCACGGCGGTCCCCAGCAGTGAGTTGAAAGCAGTGGATGATCCGAGGTAAAGACACCCGAGAAGTCCGACAATGGTGGTCACTGCGATATGCGAGTTTAGTGGAATGTGGAAGCGAGGGCTCACTTTGGACCAGCTGGTAAAGGCGTCAGTACAAATACGACAACAAGCAGTGAGAAGGATCATGCTTACATCTTGGAGAACGGCATGGCGCCATCGCGAGAGAAAGCCCAGAACACACGACCCGTGCTGAGCTGTGAGCTAACAACGCAGGGGCCAAGAGCAATGAAGAGGATAAAGGTCAGTCCAAAGGCGCCACCGGCGTGCTGCGTCACTTGGCGAAAGAGCTCGGCGAGAGGCAAGCCAGTGTTGTTGGCGGTGAGACCGTCAAAGTCCTGGATGGAGAACATGAGGGTGATCAGGTACGTCAGACCCGTGCAGAAGGCGATGCTCAGGGTAATAGCAATGGCCAGGGGCGCATTGCGAGATGGCTGTAACTCTGTCAATCGCTGTTCTGGTTGCGCTATTCCAGTCTGAAGCAAGGCAGCCGGACTTACGTTGGGCATCTCCTCGGTAATGTGGGTGACTCCGTCAAGACCGCCGAGGCTGTATAGGGGGTTGACGAGACCAGTGATAAAGCAAATGACCTGGTTCTCCCAGCCGGTGTTGTTGATCCACGTTCTGAAGACAAACTCGGTATTCCGGTGCGAAGGGGCGCAGGCGGCCACCGTGATCAGGACCACGAGCCATCCAATCTGGAGATAAAACAGAGAGAACTTGTTCAAGGCTGGGATGACTCGGTTGCCAAACATGACCACGCTGGCTGTGATTAGGTTTAACCCCTGATACACGACGAAAGTCTGCCAAGTTTGGATCTCGAAATTCTCGTGGTAGAGTGCAATCAGTGCCATGAGAATCTGAGCGTAGATGATGTTCGTGGAAGCAGTGGTAAAGATCCCTGCGATGAGTTAGTGACTTGGTAGCCGCTCTGACTTTGGGATTGATTCATACAGCCAAGGACGCTGAACCAGCCGGTGAAGAAGCTCAGTGGACCAGTAGCCTTCCTGGGCGCCACAGCAGCAATCCAATGATACATGCCTCCCTCGGTGGGATAGGAAGAGACGAACTCAGCCAGCGAGGCGCCGAGGAAGCATTGCAACGTAGTCACAAGGATGAAGCCGTAGATAACGGCCCCAGGGCCTCCAGCGCCAATCTCGGTGATGAGCCCCAAGCCCAGTCCAGTCCAAGAAATGGTTGTAGTGGAGGCAAGGCCCACCAAGCTCAAAGTACTGAAATGGCGCTTGAGCTCTTGCTTGTGACCTTTGCCTCGGTCAGCAACAGGGAACGGACTCGTTCATGTGTCTGTCATCAATGCTCGGTGCATTTGGATCAGGCATCAACTTACCCATTTGCGCGAGGCGCAGCTCGTCAGCATTGACAACCTCCTTCGTACCGACAACTTCCATGCTCCTCTTCGAGCTAGGCGCCGTGTTGATGTTGCCGTCAGGGGAACTCATCGCGAAGTTTGCTCAGGAATGGTGTGTATTGCTAGGTTGTGTTTGGATTGGTGGTTTCTTCCAGCGATGGGTGAAAGGGCTACATGGGAAGAATTATAGTCCAAGTGAAGTCAACGAGCAGTGACAGTTATCATGTTGTTCAACAATTTCCCGGTTCGCCGACCGGGTCTTCGGCACCCTTGGCGTATCGTCGCATCGGCTCGCCCCCAAAGATAACAAGGCAGGTCCACACTATGGTGGATGCGCATCCACTGCCCCCCAGACCCCTATCACAGGTAAATGGAGTAGGGCAAGGTAACACGCGACTCGACGCCTGAAGAAGCAGCCGGCAAACCCGGACCGGTCTGATAACTGCTGTGTCGCCAGACGACATGATACAATGGGGAAATCGGCTTGAGCCTCCCGATTCACACTCATCAATACCCTCAATCCTTTCCCCATGAGCACTAGTCATGGCCATGAGACTGACCCAGGGAATATTTGTGCGCACGTGCCTCGTATTGGAAAAGGCACATGCCTTCGATGTTCGATTTGTGTGTGTCGAGGGTTGATGCTGGCAGTTGGGGCGTGCGCACTGCATCGAGTAAACATCACGGCAATTACAAGTCGCGAAATAGCTCACTTGTGAGTGCTTTTGGCTTTGTAATTCAATTTTGAGTAACTCCAGGTGCAATATTGTCAGACTTTATATCATGTCTTTTTAGACGCCCACGCGATCAACGCCGCACCCACGCCACTTCCATCAGGTGCAGTTCCCATCTGTATCCTCTGTTCACCAAGGGGCCCTATGGCTGGAATTTCCCTTAGTGCAGTTCGAACATGGTCCTCAAATCCAGGGAAGAATTCGAAAAGCGACCCATCGACGCCAATATCGATCATGTCGACCTCTGAAGAGACATCCCATTTCCCTTCCTCGCTGCTGTAGCTTAGATCTGAAGATACCTCTTGACTTGTGGAATCGGACTTGACTTTTTCAGTGTGGAAGAAATGATGGATGCAGCCCATGACAGTACCCAGCGCCATCCGGCAAGCTGACCAAAGCCGGGCCAGAAATGAAGGCCGCGTTGTCATCATCCGCAGAGAAGGCCCCTTCAGGAGCGGAGTGCTGCTGAGCCGTCCTGACTGAACTACGATGCCCGCAATGGCAATCGCGGAGAGTCTCGCCGCCCTTTCTCCTATGGCTCCAGCTATGACTTGCAATGCTGCGGCATCAGCTACAGACGGCTGGCTAACGCTGAGAACCTTGCTGATGTCTTCCCGAGCGCGTTCCAGAGTCGGACTTTGGTCACGAACAAGCATGGATAGGAACGAACTGTCGATGGAGTAAGGTATGTGCAGTCGCGAATCAGACGGCGCAGACATGCTGAAACAAGGCGTGAGGGATTGCATCTCGGCCAAGATGACTCGCCGGAGCAGCTCGCCCAGGTAGAGTCCCGAGATGCGCTTCTCGTAATGCTGATCCCCTGGATTGACAGAAGCTCGATCGAGCGCTTCGTCATATATAGTGGTTGGCAATACTGACAGCTCCTTGTCAAAACCACCCCATTCCGTGTTGAGCGCCATGGATTCGGCCTTTCCAGGGTCCGCGAAGCCAGGATGCGAATGTAGCTTTTTGATGTTGGTCATCTTTTCAACATAGGCTCCGTTGGTGCCAGTGCCGAAGATAGCACCAAGCAAGGTCTCTGAGCGACCAGGTGAGGCATACGCTCGCGCTGCCAGTGTCCCTACGGTGTCATTGACGAGAGCCGTCACCAGAAGGGGCAGATGCAGCTCATCAAGTGCTTCTTGTAGCATGGCGCAGGGATCGCGACCGACAGCATCATTGATGTTGAAAGCCTTGGTCCAGTACATCAGTGTGCCCTTGTTAATGGCATGTTGATTGAACGTGAAGCTGAAAGTGAAGCCCAGGGGATGTAGACGTTGACGACGGAGCTCATCGGTGACCTGTCCGTCCTTGACAATACACCGCCACGAGTCCAAGGGGCCCGGCATGTGCTCCTGCATGAAAACTTCTGTATGCCTTGCAATAAAGCCAAACAGGTCTCTGTATGTCTTGGCCGTGACCAAATCCGCTGGAATAGCGGCCTTGGACTGGGTGAGAGTGTGAGTAGAGTCGCCGTGGAGTTCGACGGAGCATACTCGCAAGTTGGTTCCCCCCAAATCAATCGCCAGACATACACCCTTCTCGGTGCCATTGGGAAGACTGGTCACGTAGGAAGGGACCTGCAGCAGAGCTGTTCCGTCGCTTAAGAGGCCCGATCCTACAAAAGTAATCAGATCACAGGCACATTGCGAGGATCACAAACGTCTTGACTTACCAAGTTGTCTGACGAAGTGATCAGTGCCTCTTCTGATGGTCTGGGATGAGACATGAAAGCCACCAGCGACTGCCTTGGCTCTGTCCATGGAATTCGAGGGGTGCTGAAAAACTCCTCTAGGGTGAACCTTGGCGATAGACATGATAGTGTGCCGCAAAATAAAAGCAACCAGTAGGTAACCTCGCAATGAAGGGGTGGCGCCTGGTCGCTGACTTATCGAGACGCGTCCGATGTCTTGAAGCCCTACTCCGCACAAAACACCCAAACCCCATCTATACCGTGGTGACTCCTTTGGTCTATCTTGATACGCGTCCTACCATTAGCTTAAGCTACTACTGTTCTTCCGTCCTGCTCTTTACACCTAACGTTCCATGGGCAAAATGTCCGGCACACCCGGCCCGGCTTGGCGATGGCCGTGTCCAATGACGACCCGCTATGGCCTCACTATCGGTCTCGCGAGTCAGTCTTATCAAAGGCTACTGATCCAATCTCCCCTTAAAGGCCGGACAACCCGGCGAACCGGTGAGAAAGAAGTCTTGTCCTGGAGATTACCGGTCATTCTCCCGAATCCTTCGACACGCGACTCATACCGTCATACTGAGCCATGACATCTTTCTCTCAACGAGTCGGCGATCAGTATGCCTCTACACTGGAACCTGCTTTAGAGGTGCAAGCCTCGGCAAAGTCCCGAAAAGCTTGTGGTGAGACTATCAGGGGTTTCCTCCATTCGGAGGCGGCAACAGTGACCAGAGGCTAGAGCAACAGACACTGACAAAGAGACACACCAGTCAACTGCCGACGTCAGAAGGTCTGCTTGAAGATGCAAAGGCGCTCATTATATTTTGATCAAGCCTGACTGAAGCTACGTAGATGAAATGCAGGATCGACCAGGGCCCATCATGCCGAAGGTGTCTAAGGACTGGGGCGCCATGCGTGTTCGTACCTCGAGCTAATGTACGACCCTCCCCCCCCCTTCCCGATGTGGCCAAAAGTCTGTCAAAATTTCACAGCTCATGAATAACACTGAACGGTAGGCTGCTGCTTTCGCTGAGGGACACACGCCTGGAGAGAGGTACCACCGAGATGAACGTCTCTCACATCTTAGCGAGGGCATCCTGCGACGCTTGCAGAGACTTGAAGATCATGTTGGTTTAACGGCCCTCGAAGGTCAGGGCCCCTCAAGCGAAGCACATGAAGCGATATTGTCCAAAAGTCCGGAACCTAGGAACACCTCCCTCCGGCCGTTGTGGCCTGCGATACAGGTATTGAAGCACACCTGCTCTGCCAGCACTAGCTCAACGTTATGGGAGGAAGGACTTGTCAAGCAGCTATGGCTCAGGTATTCCGCATTTCATGAGAAGGGGTACTTCTGCCCACGCTGACTGTGACTATTTAGTTTCCACGACACAATGCTTGGGCTGCACTTCCTCCCCAGCAAACAGACATTCTCATCGCCAACGCCTCTGATGCTGGCGGCGATGCTGTACTGCTCGAGCATGAGAGGCTCGGACCAAGTGGTCGTGCATGCTTCCGAGTACTTCACTGTCCTGTGCAGTGCAATTTCGCAGTTATGTATGCCCGCCAGCGAGATTGGAATGGCGCCCAAGGACCCGACTGCAGCGGAGGAATGGGCATTCCAGACCATCCTCGGCATCATCCTTGCCGGGCTTCTTCGGGAGGGCGTCATCAAAGAGACGGGGATATGGATCTCTGTCGCCTACAGACTGATCCTGGAGCACTGCCCACCTTACATGGATGAGAAGTCACTCGAGTGGCAAAAGCTCTTCACTGGCCTGCAAGTATGTCCGGACAGAACCCTTGATATGTTTCCTCAAGTCAAAAATGCCTGACCAGCCAAATAGATTGTAGATCTAGAGCACGCCTCGATCCACCTCTCGTGTCCCGTCATACCTGTAGAAGCACCTTTTCCGCGCCTTCGCATCTCGCAGCAGGACCAGCTCTACAGGTTGTCTCGCATGATGCACACGGGTCTCACCCACTTCACGGGACGCGGGCTCCCGACCATTTGGGCATGCTTCACGAGCGACACCCCCGCCACGTCCGACTCGACCTCGTTCAGCGGCGTCGATGCGGCCGTCATCAGGGATTGGGCCCGGCAGCTCGACGACTGGCTGGTGGAATTTGGCGCGCGCAGCGAGGAGGCTAGCGACCAAAGCAACCTGACGTTCCGGCAGTACGTTCTGCACCGCGTGCTGGTCCTCTCCATCTACCTCCCAGCCCGTGGAAGCGATCTTTTCTCCGATACGACGCCAAAAGAACAGCATGAGCTTCTTGTTTCAGCCCGCGCGGCTGTCAGGCTCCAGCTCCTAGACACATCCATCTGGTCCAACTTCGACCTCATTATTATCACGTGGGCGGCGTTGATAGTTATCCAAGGCGTCGATGGCGGAGTGGGAGAGCCTGAAGGTAAGACATGATCATCTCGAGGTTTGAGTCTAGCTAATCGAAGTGTGGAAGATTTGGAGCATGTCAGGGTTCATTTAGGGCGTCTCCAGGAGGCCCATGAGCACAGCTGCAATCTTCATGGGCTGCTGGCAAATCGTCTGGAAACAAAAATTCAGGGCCTAACAACCCCGCAGATCGGCGATGCCATGAGCTTCGAGCCAGATGGTAATTTTGACACTTCTTGGTACATATTCAATCAGTCTAGTCTAGATGTGGGCTTGGACATGTCCTTCTTGGACGGAACAATGCAGCACACAACCATGTCCTGAATACAGTATATAGTCCACTCAAGCTATCTTATCATAAGCGCCTTCGTGCCATTGTTGAATACTTAAATGGAAAACAAAGCCAATTTGCCATATCCACATTAGGGATGTGGAACTACGTCTGGGGCCAGGACCCAATGCGAGACGACATACTGTCAGGGGTAAGCTCGACGACATGATCGTCCGCCTGAGTCGGACCCGATGACTTGAGATCCGGGGTTCGAGGCGGACTGACAAGCGACCATGTCCGAAGTTTCAAGGGAAGCTTCTGCTCAAAGCCTCGTCCGAGGCCAACCTTTTCGATGCTCTTGAAATACTGAGACAAACAATAATCAGATCCTGGGCCACGATATTCTATACGCTGTCTTACCTTGACCGTCTTGACCTGTAGCTCTAGTGAAGCATCTTCGTCGGCCACAATCATGGAATAGGGATGAAGTTGAAGGCAGGAGAGAGTCCACATGTGGTTGACGCCGCCCTCAATTGTCTTTTGCAATGCCACAGCCTTGGAGGCTCCGTTGGCAATAATGACAACTTCCTTGGCCTGCACAGTATTAGTGTCGGTTGCTCTTGGACATCAAACGCCGGCTGTGTGGAAACGGACCTCCATAATTGTCTGCACGCCCACTGTGAGCGCCATCTGAGGCACCTTTGAGACATCGCCGCCGAAGAAGCGCGCATTGGCGCGAATCGTGTCCATGGCTAGTGTCTTGACTCTCGTGCGAGATGCTAGACTGGACCCAGGCTCGTTGAAGGCGATATGTCCGTCAGGGCCCACGCCGCCCAGAAAAAGCTCGATGCCGCCGGCTGCCTTGATCTTGGCTTCGTACTTTGTACATTCCTCGTCAAGATTTGGTGCATTCCCGTCAAGAATGTGAACATTTTCCCGTTTGATGTTCACGTGGGAGAAGAAATGTTTAAACATGAAACTGTGGTATGACTCGGGATGATCCCGCGGAATGCCAATGTACTCGTCCTACCATGTGTTGTCGTCAGCAACCGACGCCAATGGTTGGTATTCTGAAGACCCACCATATTGAATGTTATAACATTTTCAAACGATATGCGACCGGCCTTGTACTCTGACACTAGGATTTCGTACACTGCGGTTGGACTACTTCCTGTCGGGAGCCCAAGTACGAAGGGCTTTTCTAGGGTAGGCTGGAATGTACGAATACGATCTAAGCATTGTCAGGCACTGATAGCGGTCTCAATTGGTCCAGAAGGAAAAAGGAGCTTGATTGAAACATACCCAGGATATAGCCCGCCACGTACGCACAAGAGGACTTATCGTCTGGTCTGATAATGAGTCTCATTCTGCTCAGGAAATCGATCGGGTGACCGAATGAGCTGGTTCAGCTAGGTGTTCTAGTTTCGGGTATCAATATCGTAATCTACAGAAATGCAAGTATGACAGGAACTGCCGCTGCTTTCGTGCCCGTCTCTAATAAGTATGCAGATATGCTGTCCGCGCGGCCATCTCGAGCCTCTGGCCCTCTCGTCCTATCGATGGGCTCGGCAATTCCCCTGTTCGCCGGGTTTCGCCGGTCCCGCTTTGACGTTACACCCGTCACCCCACCCGGCGTAGGGACCGGACCCCGGCCCCCGGGGTTGTGTGGCCCGACTCGTGCCGCGTGCTGATAAGGCATTAGCTGCTGTCTATCTTTCTTGACCCCAACTTCAGCGGCTTCTTCATTTGTCCAAGCGAGGCACAGTCGACATACTTCAACTGCTCTAGCATGCGTCGAAGAAGAGATGTGACCCCCTTGCTAAGACACGGCAAAAGCGCGGTCAATAACAAACGCGGCGACAACCCATGGTAATCTCAAGTAATATCTCCGAGTCCCAGACCTTCCGGCTGACGGCGTGGTCTTGAAAAGCTATGATTGCGCCTGAGCGATGTATTCACGGCTCAAGCATGAAAATAGCGACGGCGTTGGTCGATGCGTAATCGGGAAAAGTGGTGCCATTTGTCTCCCGGGGAAGATCTAGGTGTCGCGTGAGGTTTTCACACTGATTGTTGACAAGATGAATACCAAGAACACTTTCAGCATTATGGCCGCATGGCAGAGGAGAGATACCGCTACAAGCGCTTAGATTTGCACACCCGGAACAATAAGTTAGTAATCGGCTCTGGTTAGCCTGGACTGGAACTTCACCTTGCCAACAAAAGAGTTTGAAAAGGCTCTCGCGCCTACGGTAAAGGCAGTCAAACGAATATTATGCGGCGTGTCCCGGGGAGCTACCCAAGTTATGTGTGTGGTGAACGTCCACTAGCGTTAGAGCTGATGGAAGAAAAAGACGGACAAAGTCACAATCACAATATCAAACAATGGATCGATACGAAAGACACAATAATGTTATCATTACGTTCTTGCCATATGCAAAAAAGAGCCTTAGCAAAGAGCCTTAGCAAAGAATACGGCGGCCATCATGCCAGCGTAAGGCGACTGGGGACAGGAGCCAATAACTAGCTAGTAGTGCGCTTGTTCTCGCCGACGGTGATCTCCTCAACCTGCTCGTCGTGGCCAAGGGTGTTGGCGGACTTGTCCGAGGGGGCGGTGAACTCGAAGACTAAGACATGTTAGCAGGTGACCTGAGGCAGTGGGTTCGCGGGTTCTGGACTCACGGTCGATGGGTGTGGTGGCGAAGTTGCGGGCGGGCGTCTTCTTCTTGAACAGATAATCAATCTCGGCAAATGTACGCTCCTTGGTCTCGGGGAGGAAGAAGAAGATCCAGAGGACCCAGATGAAGCAGAAGCCAAAGTAGAACATGCCTGTCTTGGCACCCCAATTCCAGGCAGCCGAGTCGGAATTGAGCATTCGGGGGTTGATCTGCTGCGCGATGAAACCGCAACACACATATAGGCCACGGCCAAGCACAATGGTCTGGGCGCGGACGCGGGACGATGACATCTCACCAACAATAACATAGGTGGTAGGACCCAGCGAGACCTTGAAGATGCACTGCACGATGATGAGGAAGGCGGCCACGGGGACAGCATGGACCTTCTTGGAGGTCGCGAAGCCCAGGATACCAATGACCAGCATGCAGGCGCCGATACCGGCAGAGCCGAACAGGTAAAAGGTACGGCGGCCAATTTTACCCATGAGAGCAATGGCGATACCCGTGGCAAGAATGTTGACGGACTGAATGCCCATGTTGTAGTTGAAGGCGTCGTTGGTGCTCATGCCAACAGCTTTCAGCATAAGTGCGGCATACTGTGTGATGGACTGGCCGTTGAACATCTGGACGACCCAAGCCATACAAACAATGAGGGTACGCCTCTTGTTCTCCCCGTTAAAGCAGTCCTTGTACGAGGCGTTGGCGGCTTCGAGCCTTTCCATTTCGTTCGTATGCTTCATAAGGGCAATCGTCTCCGCCATCGACTCCTCGGTGTAGTGGCCCTTGCGAGCGAGACGGCGGAGAGACTTTTCGGCCTCGTCGACCTTGCCGCGGCGGATCAGGTACCATGGCGATTCGGGCGCGAAAAAGCCAACGAGCAACAGGGGAGGCACCCAAACCCACTGCAGGGCATACGGCACGCGCCAGCCGGCATCACCTTGCAGGTTTAGAGAGCCACGGAGGACACCAGTAGCCAGGAAGGAACCGGCACCCCAGCACATAGAAACCCAAGCGGTCAGATATCCACGCATAGCGGCAGGACAGATCTCGGCGGCATAGGCAGTCGACAAGGTTTGGAACATGCCCCAAGGAATACCGCAGATAATGTTTCCCGCCAGGAGCATTTCGACGCTCTGGGAGAAGAAGAGGATGAAGATGGCACAGCCCATGGCAACCATACCGCCCTAAAAAGTACAAAGTCAGCAAATCGTCTTGCCAGCATCGCCTGTTGCAGCAGGTAGGCACTTACCATGTAGACTCTGCGAGAACCGAAGCGGCTCTGGAGGTAACCGTTCAGAAGCAGACCGATAAGAGAGCCGACGTTGTTACCGGCACCGATGGAACTCTGCCAGGTGGTCGAGATATGCATCTTGCCATCAGAGTTGGGCCAACCGAACTTCTGCAAATAGTTGGGGTGGGCGAAGAAATTGTTGATGAGACCGACGTCCATGCCCTCCATGACGAGGGCGAGGGAGAGCAAGCTGGAGAAGACGGCGGCAGGCGCGTAGCGCGCAAAGAGCTCCTTGCGAGGAAGACGTGCTTCGGCCTCGGCCGCGGCCACAGCAGCCTCCACGAGGTCATGCTGCGACCTGTGGACGCCGTCCCGCGGATTGGACGGGCGGGGGCCGGCCTCGACCTTGGCCGGGTCCTGGACAGCGGCCATGGTGGTGGTGGATGATGGAGGATGGAAGACGACGGACGGACTAACTAGCGGGCAGACAAGCAGGTGAAGGGGTCCAAGGCAACAAGACAGCGACGCTGAGCGACTTGTCAGTGTTGTCGAGGAGAGAAGAGAGGGAAGCAAGAGAACGAGATGAGGAGGGGAACTCGCGCAAGATATGTACCGCGAGAATGGCGGGCCAAGACCCATTTCCACGATGCAAGCTGGACTCTGGGGGGCCCAGGATCCTGGATTGGGGTTGTCTGGGGCCCCAGGTTCCAGTCCCAACTCCCAAGATCCAACCCAAGTGGCCTCGCCCCAGGCTGACCCATGCTCGATACGAACCAAGGCGTGAACGGTGAACCCCGGACTGCGTCGGCCGGACTTGACCCGAGCTTCGTCCAGGGCTGGACTCGGTAGTCCGGAGCCAGGACACCACTGCTCGCTTCATTGCTGGCATGGTATCCCAATCACGGGAATGTAAACCGGCTACGACGCGTTGGGTAATTCTTCCCCGCGTCGGGGTGTTTATGGGATTGGGGCCCCAAAAAAGGGGCTAGAACTAGAGACCGTCTGGCTCGGCTAGGGTCCACGTGTGAATCGGCCGGGTGTTTCGCTCCTCGCTACGTAGAATAAACAGCGGCGAGATGCTGGGCGACAAGGGCATCGTCAAGGGACCCATGCCTCTGTCACTGGACTAGGACATGACTCGCCGACGACTACTACATTCGTGGAGTGGAAGGATTCGAAGGATGCCAGCCCATTGATGAATTACCAGAAATGGCAACCTATCGGAGGCTCGCCGGTGTTGTTCGTCGAAGCGACATGCCTTTACGAGGCGAAACCGGCGGCGTTGAACGAGGCGCGTCGTGTCCAACATTGGAGACTAGGCGCGGTAACCTCTGGTAACCTTCTCCGACGAGACTGGACACTTGAGCTTCTGGCGTCAATCATCCCCGTCCCGCTTCAGCTCAAATCCTCCTCCTTTCCTCCTCACTCTTCCCCCTCGCTCCGAGGCCAGTAGATTCAAGCCGCCATGTGCTCTCACGGATCTGATCACCATGACCTCGGACACAGCCAGGCTGTCGCGACAAAGGCGCAGCCCTACCCTCTCCGTGCGCCTGCCCCCGTCGGCAAGAAGGTCACCTCTCTCTACAAGAAGCGCCTCGTCAACTTCTTCACACCCGGCCAGTGGGAGAAGGTCAACCTCATGGCCGCCCAGAGCGACGTCAAGTTTGGTGGCGCGCCGCATGTTCAGCTCCAGGTCTGGGACGCCCCCGACACCTCGCGCCCGTCCTTCGCAGAAGCCACAGCCGCATCCAACACGTACCGCGAGGCACGAGTAGGCGAGTCGTTCGGTCCCTCGTGGACGACGCATTGGTTCCGCTGCACGCTCACGTTGCCAGAGGCCCTCCAGGCAGAGGACGCGCACGTCGAGCTGCATTGGGACTGCAGCAACGAGGCCACCGTGTGGACAGCCAGCGGTGAACCGTTGCAGGGCCTCACAGGTCGCGGTGAGCGTATCGAGTGGGTTGTGCCGGCTTCCTTCAAGGACGGCAAGGAGCACATTATCTACCTCGAGATGGCCTGCAATGGCATGTTTGGCAACGGCCCTGGGCGGCCCATCTTCAAGAACAACGCAGGCGGCGACTCGATCCAACCTCCCGACAACGACAAGTACTTCAAACTTGCCCAGGCGGAGCTGGTAGTCGTCAACCTGCCCGCGCGCATGCTGCTCATCGAGTTTGGCATCATCCACGATGCTGCGACAGAACTCCCGGAGGACACGTGGGAGCAGCACGAGGCGCTGAATGTGGCCGGCCGCATCGTCGACGCCTTCAAGGTGGGCGACGATGCGTCCTTGGCCAAGTGCCGCCAGATTGCCGCAGAGTACCTCGGAGACCAGGTCAACTCGGCTGCGGTCTACGAGACAGCCCTCGACCGCCGTCCGACAGTCTACGCCATCGGTCACTGCCACATTGACACGTGCTGGTTGTGGCCCTGGGCAGAGACCAAGCGCAAGGTCGTTCGGTCGTGGTCGAATCAGTGTGACCTGATGGACCGCTACCCAGAGCTCAACTTTGCCTGCTCGCAGGCTCAGCAGGTGCGCCTCCCTCCGCTCACTGCATAGTGGCCATTCTTCCTTTGTGACAATCGACTAACTGGGCTGGCTGCAGTTCAAGTGGCTCAAGGACATCTACCCCTACGGCTGGCAGCGTGTCAAGGAGAAGGTCAAGTCGGGACAATTCCATCCCATCGGCGGCTCCTGGGTCGAGCATGACACCAACCTGCCCTGTGGCGAGTCGCTCGTACGCCAGTTCTTGTACGGACAACGCTTCTTCGAGGCCGAGTTCGGCTTCCGCTCGACGACGTCCTGGCTCCCTGACACCTTTGGCTTCTCCTGCCAGATTCCCCAGATCTGCCGGCTGGCCGGCATGACACGGTTCATGACGCAGAAGCCTTGCTTCAACAGCGTCAACGAGTTTCCTCATACAACCTTCAACTGGTGAGTCCCTACTGCCCACGTCGATCTGCTCACTTGGACTCACACGATATTCCGCAGGGTCGCCCTCGATGGCAGCCAGGTTCTCACCCACATGCCCCCCTGCAAGACCTACACAGCCGAAGGCAACCTTGGCGACATCACCAGGAGCATCTCCAACCACAAGTCTCTGGACCAAGACAACACCGCACTCATGGCCGTAAGTGAATCTATCGTCTTGCTTTGCCTTGCTCCCTCTGACAACTGCTAGTTTGGCAAAGGCGATGGTGGCGGCGGCCCAACCTGGCAGCACCTCGAGAAGCTCAGGCGCCTCCGTGGCATGGCCGATACGGTAGGCGTCATCCCTCGCGTTCACTCTGGTGCGACCGTCGACCAGTTCTTCGACCGCCTCGAGGCCAAGGCCTCGAGTCTCGTCACCTGGTTCGGCGAGCTCTACTTTGAGCTGCACCGCGGCGTCTACACCACGCAAGCCCGCACCAAGCTGCAGAACCGCAGAGCCGAGATCTTTTTGCATGACATTGAGCTGCTGGCGACTATTGCCTCGATCCACGACAGCAGCTACCAGTACCCCAAGAAAGAGCTCGACGAGATCTGGCAGGGCATCATGCTGTGCCAGTTCCATGACTGTCTCCCTGGGACGGCCATTGAGATGTGTTACGACGACTCGGACAAGATCTACGCCAATGCCACAGCAACAGGCCAGGTTCTTCTCGCCAACGTCTTGGCTGCCCTTGGCCTCAAGAGTTCCGACGTGGCCAGCCTCAACCTTGACGAGGCCACCGCCATAAACACCCTACCCTGGCCGAGGAGGGAGCTCATTGAAGTCTCGGACGGGAAAGCGGTTGTGGCCTCTGGCGAGGGCCACGCCCTATCCGTCAGCTCGTTCCAGGTTTCGTCCGAGACCAAGGCCGTCACCGTCAACGAGACCTCGGATGGCGTCTTCCAGCTCCAGAACGACCATCTCACCGTCAAGGTGGAAAACGGCATCATCTCGTCCGTGTATGACCGTCGTGCCAAGCGCGAGGTCCTCGCTGGTAAGGCGAATCAGCTCGTCATCTTCAATGACATGCCTGTGTACTGGCAGGCTTGGGACGCAGAGGTCTACCACCTCGACACGCGCGAGGAGCTCAGCAACACCAACACGACCATCCAAGAGGACAAGGGCTACCGCGCGAGCCTCGTGACAGAGACGCGCATCAGCGAACACAGCTCCGTGCGGACAACCATCTCGCTCAGTGCAGCACTCAGCGACGATCAGCCGTCCCTCATCGAATGCGAGGCCGACGTCGACTGGCACGAAACCATGCAGTTCCTCAAGGTCGAGTTCCCGGTCCAGGTGCGCAACACGGAGGCGTCATACGAGACGCAGTACGGTGTCATCAAGCGCCCCACGCACTACAACACGAGCTGGGACATGGCCAAGTTCGAGGTTTGCTGCCACAAGTTTGCGGACCTGTCCGAGCACAATTTTGGCGTGTCCATCCTCAACGATAGCAAGTACGGCTTCGCGACTGTCGGCAACGTCATGCGTCTCTCGCTGCTGCGATCCCCCAAGGCGCCCGACGGCAATGCCGACATGGGACGCCACCGCATCCGCTGGGCCATCATGCCGCACAGCGGTGGCCTCGGCGCGGAGACTGTCCGGACCGCATTCAACTTCAATCACCCGATGCGCCTCCTCGGTTCCGCTGGCTCTGGCTCGATGGGTGCGCTGGCCAAGGCCCCCGTCACACTGACTGGCGACGACAATCTCGTTCTGGACTGGATCAAGCGAGGCGAGGACGACCAAGACGTGTCGCTGGACGACTTGCCCAAGCGCAAGGGCAAGAGTCTAATTGTGCGCGTGTACGATGCCGTCGGCGGCCTGTCTCGGGGCACCATTGAGACAACGTTGCGGGTGGCCAAGGTCTTCAAGACAAATATTCTCGAGGATGCCCTCGAGGAAATCGCCATTGACGGTGGCAGGTTTGGGATTACCCTAAACCCGTTCGAGGTCGCCACATACCGTCTAGAATTAGATCAATAGAGGGGGAAACAAACAGGAAGAATAAAATCGAGATAATTGCATAAATCATAAGTTTTCGTCGCGACAAATACGCGGCGTCGATGGCGACCTTCTCGATTGGGAGTGGTCCGTGACACCTTTTTTTTTAAACGAGTCCAAGCTCCGACGTGGCTGACGGAAGCACACAACAATGAAAGCTAGTCTAGGTTCTAGAAGCGGCAGCAAAATAGCGGTGTGCCATCCTTGACAATTCAGTCCAAAGAGGATGTGTAGAAGAAGGCTGTGGGTGCATGTCGCTCCATGCTATCACCGCGTCTACGCGTAGAGAGTGAGAAACCTCTAACTTAAGAGTATGAGTGATGAGAAAACACATTTCCAAGCACTATCGACGTCATCCCACTCTTGTTGAGAAGTGGCTGCTGCTAAGAAATCAACTTGATGCTTGTCACACTAACAGACGGCTGATACAGCATCCACCATCGTGTGGCTGCGTTATCGAAAGCACTGATTACCTCTTTCGTCCTTTTTTGACCCTTCATTGCACCTCGTGTCTGATCACCGCTTCCGTCCCGCGCACCTCGCTCCCGTTGCGTGCTAGTGCCTGGTTCCTGACGAGGAGGACGGTCTTTCATGGTAGAACTTGACCCCTGCATCAGCTTTCCCCTCGATCACCCGTTCGCACTATCACCGCCAGCCAAGAGATGGCGGCTGAGGAATATCAGTTCTCATTGACTGTCAATAAACTACCGGGGCAGACAGCCCAACAAAGGCATATTGTCTTGCAGCTTCTGCTGCCCGTTCCATCGCATTGCATTCCATCGTCAGGTCTCGTCTCAACCGCCTTCCTTTACGGCCAGAGGCTGCACTTGAATGAACCCTTTTGCAATCACCGACACACAGAAGCAGATCAGTGAACTTGCTGTTCGCGCCTCCCAAGAGATGTCATTATAGGGCCGCTAAAGAATAACCTGCAACATTGCGCCGCATTGATTTCCCATTTTCTCCTCTTTGCAAGCCTCCCCCATAGTGGGCGATGGCCGGACAGTAGGGCCAGGTTCCCCGCATTCTCTTCTTTCAGCTCAACCCCCACTCCCGTCCAATTCAAGCGTGGCAACCCAAGTCGAGAAGGTCGTATGGTTTCGATCCCAGGTACGTCTTGGCGATACTCACATAGGTAGTTCCGAGTTGGTGTGTGTGAGTGTCTGCGCGTGACCGTCAAAGGCGGCTAGGACGGAGATTTCTAATGCGGATGTGGTCTTGATCTGTCTGAGAATATGAATATCAAACGTCAGCCAACACCTTCCTGCTCGCTTCTTTATTTCGCGCTTATGGCATTTCACAGGTTCTGAATGATTCTCTGGTTGTTGATTGATCTCTGGCCTTCTCGTGAGCAAGACTGTGACGCCTAAACCTGTTCATGAACTATGGTTTCTCGCTTTGTCCTTCTCTACTCGACCTGGGCGGTGATGGTCACAGCGCAGATTTCATTGTCGCCGCCCCTGAATTCTCTGCCGGGATGCGCAGTAAGTTGAACACCCCCTCACTCCATCTTCTTCCAACACAATCTCCTAAAGCTTAGCTGTATATCAAACACTAACAGTATACGTCTAGCAATCATGTTACCATGATGCACTCGGCGCAAACTTGTGCAATCCAATCGATACCGTATGCATGTGTGGCTATCAAGCCTTTCTGAGCAATGTCACGGCATGCGTTGAGACTTCCTGCAGTGTCTTTGAATCGCTCAGTACGTCGCCCTAGATTGCCTCAACGCCAACAGGTTTCTAGCAACACTGAGCTGATGATTTGCTTCTAGCCACGCAGAATGTCACCCTTGTCTCCTGCGGTGTTCCAGTGCGAGATCGATCCTCGAACCTCACGACCATTTCTGCCGCCCTGTTCGCCTTGACTGTCATATTCGTCCTCGTCCGCTTCGCCTTTAAGGTCTTCGCGAAGCTCAACTTCGGTATGGACGACTGGTTACTCCTGTTAACCTTTATCACCACGATCCCCTCGAGCGTCTTGTTCATCGTTGGCCTCCGACCCAACGGCCTAGGCAAGGACGTCTGGACCCTGACCGCCGCCCAGATCACGGGCTTCCTCAAGTACTGGTACATTTTGGCTATAGTCTATTTTCTGCAGACGACTTTGGTCAAAATCACCTTTGTCACCTTTTATATGCGCATATTTACCACCCGCAACACCAGACGCATACTCTGGTGCACTTTTGCTATTGTGTCGTTGTGGGGAATAGCCTTTGTTATTCTGGCCATGCAGGTCTGCACTCCCATCTCATACATGTGGACGCAGTGGGATGGCGAACACAAGGGCAAGTGCGTGAACGATGCCGCATATGTTTGGACCAACGCGGCCACCAACATTGCCCTGGACGTTTGGATCCTGGCCGTGCCACTCTGGGAGCTCCGCCACTTGCAGCTACACTGGAAGAAGAAGATTGGAGTAGCTCTCATGTTTTCCCTCGGCGCCTTGTGAGTCTTTTAATACCACGTCCTTTATTGTGAACAAGCTTAGGACTAGCACTAACACAGCGCAGTGTGACTGTGATGAGTATACTCCGTCTCAAATCACTTGTATTGTACCAGCATAGATCAAACGTCACCTGGGAATTTTCCGAGGTATTTCTATGGTCTACTGTTGAAATTAACGTCGGCATCATTTGCGCCTGCCTCCCAACCATTCGCCTCATCCTAGTCAGGATCTGGCCTACCCTGTCCGGGTCAACCACGAGGCGGAGCGATCCCTGGTACCGGACCGGTAAGGGGTCGGGGTGCTTGGAGACAACTGCCGACTCCCGTGCGCGAGCTGCACGACTCGGAGAGCAACGAGCACGACTCAGTGACAGCATCTCACCGGCTGTTATAGTCAATGGGAGGCATGCAGACAGTAGACCGCCAGACTTGAGACAGGGGCCGGGGATCAAGATGCACAAGTCATATTCCGTGTATTATAGTGAAGGGAGCGATATCAGTTTAGTATCAGCTCCTGGCGTTGCAACCAAGCAAAGGGCAAAGACCGAGTTCAGCTAGCTAATTTGATCTGCCACAAAAAAAAAAAAAAAAGACAGTTTAATCTAGAGTAAATACAGGTCTATGCTCGCTCTTCCCCGTGTCTCAGATGTTCTATTAAATAATAATCGCCACCGCCGCATCCAGCCTGCACTAAGTGTGCACATCGCCGCTTCCCGAGTTGAAGCTGCTTATGGACTCGACTCCCTTGTGATCCCGCGCTGCCCCTCCCTCGACGCCACTTGTGCAGATCGCGTTCCCAGAGAATGGCGCCCGTGGATCGATAAGAGTGTCCGTGTCGCTGTGGTTGTAACCCGTGGGGCCGCCTCTTTCATCGATTTTTCGACCGTTGGCATCCATGGTGTTCATCTCAACTGTGGTGGTAACAGTAGCCCAGGCTCGGTTCTTGTCACCATCGCGGTTGCCGCTGAGCACGGTGCCGGCACCCTTGGAGGTGCCAGCGCCACGCGAACTCGAGTGTGCGTGGAAGTCGGCCTGATTTTCACCGTCCATCTGGCTGGGGTCGCGGTTCTTGGCGATCTTTGCAATCAGTTCGGCCATTGAGAGCTCAATCTTCAGCTTGACAATGTATGCGAGAGGGTGGAACTGCATGTATCTGCAAGCAACAGGTGAGTGGAAGTCTCCAAAGGTTCATGACGGAGTTGACCTACACAAAGGTGTTGTCCAAACTCATCATGGCAATGATCAACACGTCCATGCCGAGAGAGAACGAGATGATGAACATATTGAAGCGCACGACACCTCGGTACTTGGTCAAGCCGTGTCGTACCAGGTTCTGCTGGACAATGCGGATGAAGTAGATGTTCAAGGCTGCGTCGACAATGAGATAGATTCCCTTCTCGCAACGGTCCCACCACTCGTTCGTGTGGACGTATGATTCGCTGATTTGGAGGCGCGCGGGGATCCAGACGCAGTAGACGGAAACATTGATGGCTGTGATCATGGCCGCGACGCCGTACTTGAGACGCCACGACCAGCGGCGGTCGGTGATGAGGATGGCGCAGCGGTTGATGATGATCTGCAGTAGAAATTGTACCTGGAGCGCCCAAAGGGTGACTTGCGCGGTTAGCTTAGGAGCCAGTTGTCAGCTTTACGCAAAGTCAAGACTCACGGATGCAGAAGTAGAAGGCGAAGCTCGGCGGGATAGTACCCAGCAGGTACATGAAGCAAATGATGCCAAAGGCCAGGCACACGGCGATTTCGAGCCAAATCATCCAGAAGTAGGGGTTTGTCAGGATCCCCCAGCCGTGACGTTTGTAGATTCCGATTGTCTGCTTGCATGCTGACCAGGCCGTCAGCCAGCCAATACCCAGGGTGAACCCCCAAGCCAGCGAGGCGAGTATGATATCATCCCGAGTAACTTCCTCGAGCACGAAGTTGTCAGGTAGTAAAGTAAGCATTGTAAAGACGAACTTGATCTCGAACTCGATCTCGCAGATCAACAAAGGTGCAGCAAGCAGGGGAACGGATGGCTGGGGATGGCAAGGGAGTCGCTGCGGGACATGTATATAGTCGACAAGTCTACAAGAACCAAAAGAAGAGCGTACGAGTCAGGGACCAGCGGAATCTACACGGTCCGCGGTCGGCTTTTCAGATGTCCAGTGGCAAAAGAATGCCCAGACGTTAACGCAGAAACTAGCTATACCTAAGATTGTGCATCCCAGGCAAGTTCCCAAGCATATTGCGACAGTGACACGCACACACACCTATTTTGCGCAAGGTCCAGGGCTGAGGGATGCGGATATCGGTGACATACCAGGAGGCTGCTAGGCTGCCAGCCTGGCTACCCGGGTATCAGTAACAAGCCTCTTACTTTGACTAAGACTCACGAGAGGCTTGCAGTGGAACGGCCAAGACCCGCAAGAGTAGTCTAGTGTAGAGCAGAGCAAGCTAGGGCGGGGCACGGGCGGGTTATGTAAGGTCAAGTGTCAGGGACAGGATGAAGTTGGGCACAAGCGAGGGAGTATCATTTCCACATCGTATCGAGCAGCGAGCTAGACCTGGGACGCCGTCGATGCGGCTATCGTTGATGCATACCCGGATTGATCCGCGTGGCATCCACCTGAGTCAAACTTCAGTGGGATCGGGGACTCGAACCCCCGAGGCGGGCCAATAGGCGGTAGAGCCCCTGACGATCATCTCGCCAACGACTCGTGTTTGCAAGGAACTTGTGGGTTTGCCCAGCGCGGCAAGCAGCTTGGATTGACGCACTGCCACTGGGCCAATGCGCGTCACTGACTCGGCAGCTGTGCCATGCGGCGTGCTGTCACTGCTGTTCGCCCTGAGGTCGACAGGGATTTGGTCCAGCCGGACGGCGCCAAATGGCGGAGCCGGGAACCCTCGCAGTCTTTTTCATTGGACAGCGACGGCGACCTGAGATCGAGCCGGCAGGCTCTTCATGGATTGAGTCAGATTGGCCCCAATTAGAAGCTCACTGGTCCCAAAACTTAAGAACTTTAGATGTGAAGATGTAGATCAGATCAAACAAATGACTGATCATTACTTGCTAATCAGGCACTGAAATAATACTCACTGAAGAGAAAATGAGATGCAGAACTGCCGGATCCCGTGACTGTTTGATGACTGCAAAAGCTTTGCACCTTTGTTTTCTTGCATGCGTACATTACAGGTAGTGACATGGTAGAATTGAGGTCCAAACTTTGAGGTGAGACCGTCCTCTTGGGGATTTGTACGGTCTGGGCCGTGGGGGCGTCTTATTTTCCCAACTGTAGATTCATGACTCAAAAACAAACCTTGACCCGACCTGCACTGACAGGTACAATCGGTCGGTCACGTGCTTCGTTCTTATCGTCAGTTTATGATTGGATATTTGCTTTTGATTCAGGGTATGTCGAAGTATGTGAGGTTGGACGGCCGTTGTGGTGATTAGTGGCTTTGAGGACCACCATGTGCAACGCCCTGGGCCCAGCGCCCCATGGCCCTAGGTATTTTACATTAAGACGAGGCTATTTGTATCCGAGAATCCGGATCTAATCAACGCAAAACACCAAGACCGCCCAGCATTGGCAGCCTAATCCCAGGTAAAACAAAACTCGCGACGATGACGTGAGATTCCTGCCGACAGGCACGGGCGCCATCATGTCCAGGAACATCTAAATGGACAGCCCCGACGCACCATGTGCATTCTTACTGGTCTGCCCACGAATGTAGTCCTCCATTCGGATTTGTTGACTTCAAAACAGTCGCCGTGCTTGGACACCCGTGGGAGTTCTTTCCGATATGCGGCAGGGTACTGTGGATGTAGAGCTGAACACTGGCCGCGATGGCAGTATCGACCAGCACCTTGCCGCGGCTGCCATCACGAGTCTTCGTTTAATCGCCATGAGCAATCTCGGTCAATGCGAAGACAGAATGGGGTCTTTGAGCAGGCTCTCGAGACTTGTTGCGTCATCTGGAGTATCTGGATTATCCTGGATGACTTCGATGCCATTTTCGCCCAGATGCTTGGCTGGGTTTGATAGCCGAGAAATAGGTCCGCTTCCTCTCCTTGAAATAAGTGGTCGGATAGACTAGCGTCCACTTAACGGAGGGGGAAGCCGTAGTCCTAGCTTCTAAGACGGGATTTCGGTGCGCCAAATTATTCACACCCTACACGCTATTGTCTGGGAAAGGTCTTGGCATTATCGTCTTCAAAATAGTAAATGCTCCGGGAAAGAAGGACAGAACAATCTTGATTTTGTATATATCTGCCTCGACTAAGCGCAGTCAGTGACCGTGAAGACAGCAATATCGTCCTGCTCAACGCTGAAGCTAAGTGAGTCACTCCGGCCCTCTTCTCCAGAGTATGCCTCCTTCCAGCAGTGCTCGCCAGCTTCGAGCCCCGGCACCTCGGAGAATTTGACGGAGAAATCACCAGCCCCATTAGCTCCAGAAAATGCCACGACCACGCCGTTGCTGAGGGGGCCGGTCCAGTAAGGATAGATCTCCCCCGGAACAGGCTCAGGGCTGTTGCTGTTGGATGGTCTGAATGGCGCTGCAGCGGCACCAAGAGGGTCTTGATTGATGACGATAAGGTCCTGTAAGAAAGTGTCAGAAGAAAGGTCTTGGCTCTGTTGGCCAACTTTGATGAGTGGACACCAACCTTGTTGCGAAGAATATCCAGGGAGGATGTCGGGATCTTGGTAAGGTCCGCTCCGATCACTAGGGGCGACTTGGCGATTGCCCAGAGACCAAAATGAAGGCGCTCTTGGTTGTGCGTAAGCTTATTATTGCCAACAAACTAAAGGCAGATTAGTATGTGGCAGAACAAGAGGCTCGCTCAAAATGGCAGCCATCGACTTACCAACATGTCCAGATCATTGAATCCTCCAGGGCCAGAATACTGGGCGATCTCTCCCGCCTTCGAGCCAATTCTCACCACAGACTCCCAGTCGCCCCAATTATCGTTCTCGATGCGCCACGAATGTCCATACTTGTCGCCCCAGGTCCAGACTTCGTTCCTGCCCCACTGGCAGAGGTTGAAAAGGATCTCCTTCTGTGCCTTGACGCTCTGGATTGCATCGGCCATCTTGGCATACCATGGTTCTGTGCTGACTGGGTAGTCCCAACACGTCTGGGGCGGAGGCGTGACGGGGCATTCTGTGAAGCAGTTGTCGTGTTTCCAGAAGTCTACGTCCCAATCCGCCAGCAATTGTACGTCCTGATACTCGTGATCCTCGGAGCCGGGGTAGCTGGCGCATGTGAGAGTGCCTGCACAGCCGTACAGGCCAAATTTCAGGCCCATGGCGTGGATGTCGTCCACCACGGGGCGGATGCCTCTTGGCCATTTGTTGGGATCAGGGACGAGGTTGCCATTCCCGTCTCTCTCTTTCGCTGTCCAACAGTCGTCGATGTTGACATACTCGTATCCGAGGTCCTTGAGCCCTAACTCTGACAACTTATTGGCGGTATTCATGGCGTACTCCTCAGACGCAGCATCACATTGGGCGACATTCTAGTCATGCGCATTAGCAAATGAGAGCTGAGCAACAATATACCGGGGACGGAATCTAGGGGATAAGGTTTTACCCAGCTGCTCCAGCCCATAGTTGGAGTCAGTCCGACATTGGTGTCATCTAGACGGTTCCGCAAAGTTGCCGCGTGTGCCAGAAAGACCGAGGGCACCAGGGCGAGCAAAGAGGACCGATGCATAGTGGGCATTATTTGTTGGCTCCTTTGAATCTGATCGACCCAGCACATCTCCGGCCTTCGGTGAAGGGATCTTGGTTCATACTTATACGTTGCTCAGACTCGACTCCACCTAGCATTCAGCCGGAAAGCTGACTGACAGGTGCGGACCAAGCAGCTCTGAGCCCAAGAGCATAGCGACTGGAATCTGACACCCTTGAAGCTCGCTTGCCATGGTGGTGTTAACCTCCAAGTTCCTCGCAGCGGTTTGCCCACTGATCTGTACTATTATTGGGCCGGTTACAACTTGGACTGCAGACAACTCAGTTCAGGGCGGGGGACCTGCGAGTGCCGACCCGGCCTGCAGATAACTCTGCGTGATGATTCGTACTGGGAGCATTCATCAACCGAGAACTATTGCGGGGTGAAGGATGCTTTTGCAGATCGTGATGTAAATCTCCGGTCCTAGTTTGTGGGGGTCCGGGATTCAGGCTTGGCCAGGGGGCATCGAATATTTACCCGGATCTGCGGTGCATCTACTTCAACCGGGGAAAATTGCAACAGAGAGAAGCGCTCGAATGAACAGCGTCATGTGGCAGCCAAAAACAAAAAAAAGGTAAAAATGGAATCCATACTCCGTAGAAATGCGACATCATGTCCAGCGGAAAGAAAAGCCAGTGAGTAAATGTCTCCTGAGGGCCAAGGGCGGACGCAAGTCCGCAGGGACATATGGTTCCACATAGGGCACATCGGCCCATACTTGTAGTTGTAATCATATGTAGTATAAGGGTTGAGGTATTATTGATGCAGGAAAAGTTCCGCGGATGCAAGTGACTCGCTTATATGTATTCTATGAAAACCAATATCAACGCCGTCTAATTCGAGACGTAGTGAGCAACGTAGCCAATCTCCATCATGCTGCCGGTGCCACCCCAGGTATTGGCATTGGGAGAGCCAGCCTGTGAGCAGAATGATTAGTATGTGTGTCGTTTAAAGCGTGTTGGCCCATGGGGCAGAGAGACTTACCCAATCGCCGCCCATGGCAACGTTGAGGATGATGTAAAGCGGCTTTTGAGCCAGTGTTGCCCACACACCACTGTTGTTGACCTGTTCACCCGTGACGCGATGGAACTGTACGTCATCCATATACCAAGTGATGGTCTGCTTCTTGAAGTCGCTGTTCGTGCGGTCTATCTCGACGCGCCAGACGTGAAATTGGTTGTCTGGGAGGGCGGTGGTGGAGGCCAACCCAATCGGCTCGTTGCAGGCGCCTCCTGGGCCCTTGTCACAATGGACAACGCCGTAACCAATACTCTGGCCGTTAATATTCTCCATGATGTCGATTTCTCCACACTCCGGCCACTTGACACCTTGGCGATACGATGCGCCAAGCATCCAAAATGCGGGCCAAAGACCCTGCTTGTTCTTCTGGGGGTTGCCGGCAATGCGCAGTGATGACTCGACTCTTGTGATCTTGCCGGCTGTGGGGGTCAAAGTATATTTACTCTCGATACGGCCTGATGTCCAACCCCCTGGTGCAGTGGCATCGCGTCGAGGAATCAGCTGAAGGGCCCCGTTTCCATTGAATCGGATGTTCGCCTTTTTATTTGTGTAGCGCTGCAGCTCATTGTTGTAGACCTGGGCACTGTTGATCACATTCCAGTTGTTGGAGTTTGGGAGTGCATCCGCCTGTCCGATGAAGGTCGCCTGCCAACGGCGAGTGTAGCCATTATACTGGGGAGATTGCCATGCCACCACGACGGTGACGAGAGGCAGAAGAGCTGCCAGGATTTGACGAAGATACATGGTCAGTACTAGGCAGCGTTTTCGTGATGTACAGTATAGGAAACAATGGTTGGCAAGGGGAGGAAGAGCTTGTTATAATACACCTCAACGGCAAGGTTTTATGACGGTTTAAAATCACATCTTCTAATATAATGAACCATAACCCTTATGAGTTGCCATTGGTCGTGATTGAGAGGCCCAGCGAGATGCTCATTTCCACACAATGCATGCGCATTGAGGCGTCGAGAGTCTCGACCTTTGGGAGGGTCTGTGCGCGGAGTATTGGACAGGGGATCCTCGACGCAAATAGCACCACTACGCGCTTAGGGCAGATCAAACAAGCGGCTCAGGCGGGTTGCCCAACAGGGGGACCCTTTTTGATTTCAGCTTTGACCTCATCTGGGATGTCTTCCTGATCGGGTCCTGTAAGCGGCACAATGGTTAACCAATGCGGTGGCTTTTCGCAATTAGTTACTTTTTGTGGTACTTCAGCTCTGGTGGGTGGTAATTACCATTACCATGGTCCTTGCCGTGGACTTGGTCGAGAACGGGGGCTATGCGTTGATTGCCCGATGTGTCGAGAGCGAATGGATATTGGTTGGACTTTTTGGTTGGAAATACGTTTGAAAAAGAGTGTCGGGATGAATGCTTCTTTACTAAGCAACAAATGGCCCCCGGATGATTTGATCCAGATATCAATGAAAACGACACGCGGCTGCGGTTGCATCCCCGATTCAAGAGAGCTACCCTATAGCTGCACCAGTTGCGATTCAACCTGATGAAGACATGATGCGCAGACATGAGGCAGGTGATAAAAACTAAGCGGCATTCACAGCTACGTGAACAGTGTCCTTGTTACGCCAAATAATTACTTCCCAATTTGTTCTGTACTGCGCGGCTTCGCGACATGAGATCGTCGGAAACTACTCATTCATCCCTATCACCAGCAGACTTCAGCCCTTCCCAATCGCCCTGCGATTGATCCAAGGCCCGGATAACAGCACGATGTTGCTCGTCTTCCGACGGAGGCTTCTCCCGATCTCCGTCTTGACCTCCTTCAACAAAGGGTCCGTGGATCATGCCAACGGGGAGCCCAACCAGAGCCCCCAGGCCAGCAAACGGTATAGAAGCAATGGTGCCAACCAGAGTGCCGACGACGGCACCTGTCCCCGTCCCTAGTCCAGTTCCGACCCCGACGCCTCCAATCGTGCCCTGCCACGCGCCGCTTGCGATCCGTGTAGCCTCCTGGGAGTGGCCACGCGCGTCCTCCTCGCGTTGGCGTGCCTTGTCCAGCAGTGCATCCCGCCCCGCGTCGTCCTTGGCCTCGGCTGCTTGGGTTTTGAGGTTGTCTGCCTCTGCCTGCGCGTCTTTGGCTGCTTGTGCTTCGTCGACGACTTTTTTCTCCGTCTCTGGATCGACCTTGTTGGAGTCTGCCTTTAGATTTTCCATTGTTTTGAAGAGGGCGTGGTGTGTACGGATAAGTGTCGGTGACCACCGACACAATCGGCGCCTTGGTGCCACATGTGATGTATATCAATTATCGAGGCCACCACGCGTTGCTTTCCTCGCCATTCATGTCGATCACAAGTCAAGACGCGATTCTTGAATTCTTGTTCATTTCCAAGTAAAAGCGCCTAATGACGTCAAGACACAACGTCTGGCATTAGTGCGCACGGGACATGGACACTAGTAAATATCAGGCGTGTGCTGCGCTGCATGACGATCTGTTCTCGATGTACTGGGCGAAGTGTCTCACCGGAAAATGAAACACATTCAAAAGGGAGATCAAGCTTATGACGTGGCATGGTGATGTATTGAGACAAACAGACAGGCGCTAGCTTACGTGAACTCTTTCACCACAGTCTGAGCTCAAGCTGCGTGCCGCTGAGCTACAGTCCAACCTCTTACACATTTGTCTTCTCTTCCCCCTTCAAGCCGTGCTTGTCATTGTAGGCCTCAGCTGCCCTCTGCTCCGCCACGGTTACGTGTTTCTTGAACTGGCGACTCGGCACACGGTTCATAAAGAGCTCATCCAACTCCTCGTAGCTACGCATTTTTGTCTCGGGCACGTAAAAGTACGCAAGGACCACGAAGATGAGCATGATCGCGCCAAAGACGAAGCCAATCTTGGCCTTGAGGTTTCCGTACCCCGGATTGAACATGAAAGGCGACACAAAAGACCAGAAGGTGTTGAGGGCGTTGGATGTTGACAAGGCGATTGCGAGTGTCTTGGCTCGAAGGATCGAGGTCGGTATCTCGCCTGCGATTGCGTAGACGGTAGAGCCCACGCCGACGTTGTAGAAAAAGTTGAACATGGTGTAGAAGCCGACAGACGCCGTCACGGCCGCGCTCGTGCTCACGCTACCGGAGATGGCCATGCATATCAAGAGACCAGCCAGTCCCGCACAGCCGGCAATGAACATGGGTCGACGACCGACAAAGTCGGACAGGAGCAGCGCAATCAGGGCGCCCGAGATGGACAGGATCTGGCCGCCGATCTGCAGCTGGAAGGACTTTGCGTCGCTGATGCCGAGATACTGGTACATCAGGGCACCATAGTTGGAGATGAAGCCAAGGCCGGACATGGCCTCCGACATGAAGACGAAGACGCTGATCATGGTGCGCCGCAGGTGCGTGCCCTTGAAGCAGTCCAGAAACGACATGGAGTCTTGCGTCTCGGCCTCGCGCAGGGTGAGCGTGATCCGCTCCAAATGAGCCTCGGCGTCCTGCGGGTCCGAGTACATGCGCTCGAGCACCTTGCGCGCGTCCTCTGCCCTGCCCTTTCCAACCAGATACACTGGCGACTCTGGCATACAGAGCTGCCCGATCAAGCCGACGGCAGCAAAACCCCACTGCGTCGCGACCAATGACTTCCACGCCCAGTCGGTCTCCCACGAGGACGTAAAATTGACCATAATGGCCGCGATAAAGGGTCCGATGCACTGCGAAAGGTTGCAGAAGCCGATGAGAGTGGCACGGATGGCCAGAGGAGCAATGTCGGAGACATAGCTGGTGCAGGTGGTGAGGAAGATGCCAATGGCCACAAAGTTGAGCATCTTGCCACCGAAGAACATGGCGACCGAGGTGGACGCAAACTCAATGCCGACAGAGATGATGTTGATGACCGTGGCGCCGAGGACGACGGGCTTGATGCCATACTTGTCAGCGAGCCACGAGCCAGCAATGGAGCCGACGATGCTTGCGCCTGTGGCACCACCGCCGAGGGCGGACTGCCATTTCGTCTCGATAAAGTAGCTGCCTTCCACGTTGATCTTGCCGAATCTCTCCTTGAAGACAGGGATGCTGATGACGCTGCCGGATGCCTGGCTCTCGAACCCACGCACGATGAGTGTCCAGAGCATCACGCCAGCCCAGAGCAACAGCCATGGGTCCCGGCGCAAGGTCTGCCACCACGTACGATTCTTCTCCTGCTGCTGGACGGCGCGGCCCAGGGCATCCTGTTCTCCGTAGGTGGCGGTCTCGACGAACTCGGATTGTTGGGTTTCTGGGTGCTTCATGATGGTGGCCTTGTTGTACGCTCGAGGGGGCGAGACGATGAAAATGGGAGGGGATTGTACTTTGCAGAGATGAATGGTCTTTGCAGACTGCGCTTTCACCGAACACTGCGACCTGTGTATCCTGAGTCGCTAGCTGAGAGTTGTAGGATAGCAGCGAGGCAGCGCCCTATTTATCTCTATTTCGACCTGGTGGCCCATGGGGAAGCGTTTGCTGGATCTGGATTCTGGAGTACAGACGTTGGATGGAGGACAGACAGCGGGAAGAGTGTGGGGAAGCATGGCATGGCAGACTCGTGGTCAGTGGATTCTTGGTGCCAATCCCTGGGATTGCCAGCCAATCTCGGCTCTTCGTCCATTTGATGAACCGATTTTGGAGTCGAGACCACCCCGGCGAGTCGAGCAGAGACGGCACAGGGCGGTGCGTTTCGCCGAGGAAAATGCGACTAGTTCGTCCGTCTTCGGCTCGCATTTTCATCGGCGTGTCCCTCCCCTCAAGAACATGAAATCTCCGTCGTCCACTCACCTCCGCCGTTCTCCAGATCCCAGACTCCAGAGTCCAGGGTCTGACAATCTGATTCCCCAGATTCTCCACCAGACCAGCATGTCGCAGCTGACCCCAACTTCACGGGCATCGATCGATGCCACAAGCCCTGCGGCAGATGCACCACGGACAAAGAAGGCCTGCGATCTTTGTCGCAGCCGCAAAGTCAAGGTGTGCTCATTTCATACACGGCAGAATGCCACGTGGAGTATCCGGCTTACCCTGCATAGTGTCGCGTGGCGGATAATGAGAGAATATGTGAAGGCTGTCGCGATCTTGGCGTCAGCTGCACGTACGCCAGACCGAGGCGGAGAAGAGGCCCGCCCAACAGGTAAGGCCGCATGCTTCCCATGTCTAGAGACTTCACGTGTCTATCGATGGGACCACCGATTCCAGATTCCTCCCTGACGGACTCAAAGGCACGCTCATGCGCCGACGCCAACGAAATTGGACAATGGTCTTGCGCATCACGGCTCGCCAGCTACACGCGAGCGGGGAGTTTCGCCGACAGGCCATGAACACGCGGCTCGCTCCCTCAAGGGCATCTTGGCATCTCTCGGCCCAAGCCACTTGATACTGGAACTACTGGATGACTGGTTCCGCTTCGTCCACCCTCTCGCCCCAATATTGCACCGACAACATCTCCTGCACCGTCTTCACTCCGAAGAATCCGAGAATGACCAGGTCTTTGCGGCGCTGGTCATATCGGTCTGCGCCGTCACAATCTCGACGCTGCGACGGAAGAGCTTTGAGAGCTATCCGGGAATCACCTTTGACAAATGTATCGAAATCATCGAGCAAGGCAACCTGCTCCAGTCACAGCCAATTTCGCTGGACTACTGTATAGCATGGTATCACATAGCCTCTGCCGTTGAAGTCGACGCCGGCACAGGCAGCTATCGCTCGTACCGTGCCATTCGCGAAGCCATGACTGGCGTCGACTGGCTCCTCTGCTACGCGGGGGATGAGCAGCCAGCACCGGACAAGGAGCGCCTCAAGAGGCTGTACTGGCTGCTCTTCATGTGGCAAGTGTAAGTGCATGTCGAGGATATGGTTCTTCGTAATCACTGACATTATGTGCAGGGGATCAGAAATCCAGGGACAACCCCATCTGGCATTCGTCCCATTCAACCAGAAGCTCGAGCACCTGCGCCCCATGAATATCACAGATAGCCAACTTTATCCCGATCTGACGTTGTCGGCCGATACGCCCAGCTGGCCTGACGATGAAATCCACTTCATACCAGGACTCAACAGCCTCATTGACGTCTTTTTGACGTGGGAGCAGAGCAAGAAAGACCTAACGCACAAGCAACCCGAAGAAACACTACAGTGCGCAATCAGCCGCATTCAACATATTCTGGACAATCTTCCTCCAGATTTGCGATGGACAGGAGGTCTGACGCGCTTCCCGCAGCCAGTCTGGGGTCACAAGGCGCAAATGGTGAACATTTTAATCACAGCGTTATCTCTAAAGTCCAACTTTCTGCAGCATCTGGGCTCTTTATTACCTGGTCTCAGTCACTATGATATTATCTGGTAGGTACATGAGCCAACGAGCCCAGGAATTCCAGCTGATCCCGCGCAGTGATGTCTTGGAAATACTCCAGCACCTTCCGCAGCCTGTATTTGAGGTCAACGGGCATTCACTTGTCGTCAAGATCCGTGATATTGGCGCGGCCTATCTGTCAGAGCTCAGCGAAGAGTCACGGGGAGGCGTCGAGTATAATGAGCGCCACGCAAAAGTTCATCAAGTTCTTCAGGCGCTCGAGAATCTTGATTTTTGGCCACATCCAGACGCTGACGGTCCAATCGCATCAACGGTGGAAACAGAATAAATGGTCAAAGAAATAGCACTGATCTTCTACGGCACATTTGACTCTGCAGACTGCATTGCATTTTCAATCAAACCTTCTCAAGCTCTGCGCTGGTGTGGGCAATCCAACTATCATCGAGCTCCTCCACAGTCGTCGCTTTGGGCACCTGGTCTTGCAAGACATTGCTCGCAAGCTTTCCTCGCAGCAAGTACGTTGGCGTGCAGCTCCAGGCGTGACAGAAGCTATTGTTCCTCACATCCCCATAAGGGCTGTTGGTGCGGTTCTCCGGGTCAAAGCACTCCCAGAACGTGTCGGCCCCTGCTTCAATCATCTTTCCCCAGTACCCTTCCATGACTTTGATGCATTCCTCTTTGCATCCAACGTCAGCCAGCGCCTCGCAGACGTAGTGCCACAGATACGGCGTCAGAGGTCGAATGGCGTCAGGGTGGTCAAGTGTCTTGAGCAGTGCGGTTCTCGCCGTTTCTTGTGGGAATGCACCCGACAGGGCGAGCCAAGCTGCGGATGCATAGCTAATTTGGGCATTGGGGCCTGACACGACGAGACCTTCATCGTTCAGAAGTGCCTTGGCTGCTTCTGTCATGGTCATGGCAGTGTGCTCGTGTGGAGGCTCTTGACCCAATAGAAGAGCCAGCTTGTTGGTGGCCTTGAGGCAGTACAAAAGGAGCCCATGACTCCCAGCGCTGCGATCGAGGTCTTCCTGCCAGTCGAGAAACTTCCAATCGTCACCACGCGATGGGTCGAACAGGCCAGTCTCAGGATCAAGGTGAGAAAGCGCCTTCTTCAGACAGCCAAGGACGGTCGGCCAGAGCTCCTTGCCAATCGCGATATCGCCAGACGCCTCGACATAGTCATAGACAACCACGGCAAAAAGTGCATCGTAGTCCACAATGTAGTCGTCAGAAGGCGTAAAGACAGGATGCTCGAAAAGACAGGCTGGCACCGAGTCGTCCTCCCGCACAATGGCCGCAAACTGGTAGATGCACCGTTTGACCAAGTTAAAGTCCTTGAATGACTTGTAATTTGCCAGTGCCTGCAGCCTCAAGTCCCCGAGCCACAACCTCTTGTCTCTGCGCGGCCCATCCTCGAACACCGTCTGCATGCAGTCGCGAAGTGTCATGAGACTGACTTGGTCGATGCGATCCAAGACAGTGTTCTTGAATGCATATGCGTCGACCTTGTCGGACGGCCCAATGGCACTGACACACTCGCACGAGATATCAGAGAAGGAGAGCTTGCACTTGGGCGACATGTCAATGATCTCGACACGGAGATAGCGGAAAGAGTGACGACGCGGCATCCTCAGGATCTCGGGACACATGTCGATGTTAACAATCTCGTCGGGGAGCCATGATGTGCTGATCCAGGTCTTGACGTTGTCCATACCCATGGTGACATCAAAGGGCGACTCCCCAAAGGTCAGTCGCAGCCTGCACGGGGCGTCCATGTGTGAGCCGTGTGAGTCGAGGCGCATGGACAAGTAGCCGACCATGTGAATACCAAAGTCGAGGATGAAATCGCTTTTCCTGGCCCACAAGCTCGCCTCGAAATCTTGCATTGTTTTCATTATCTTGGATGGTCGAATGCCGAAATACTGCGTCTCGTCCTCGACGAAGCGGATGACATTTTGAGGCCTTCGAGGCCAGCGATGCAGCGTTGGCTTCAGTTCTTCAGCCTTGCCTGCGAATTCCATGTTCCATCGAGTTTGGGGGCCCCCCTTGAGCGGGTAGGCGGGTGTTGGAGCAGCCATGTTGTAAGAGCGGGACGAGATGTTGCCAAGCGCAGTAGAAGCTGAGATCGAGTGAGATGATGAATGTCTAGCAAGGCATGGGACATAAAGGGTGCATTGCAGGACGGACTGGGCTTAAATGAATGATCAGGCTTTCTGGACTTTGCAGCCGTGCTTCCAACCATTTTACGGCTTTTCGCGTTTATTGGAGCAATACCCACAACATTCGAGCAGGCTGACGGATTACAGCGCCAGCGTCTTGTCTGAGGCGATGATCCGGCACGAGGACGGTGTTTCTTCGGACTTGACTTCGACTCCGCAGTCACAGGTGACAGACAGGAGAAGGGAAATTATTACCCCAGCCCGCTCATCGTTTTCGCGTGCGGGGTTACTCCGTGATTGGGGAACTACCTTGTAAGCACAATCTCCAACCGGGGATTTTGCATATATTTTTCGCGAAGCTGCCCGACCTTTTTTCAGTTTGCACCGTTTCCGTTCGCATGCTTGTGCTCAGATCTATTCACAATGTAGCAGTCACTGTAAATCAATCAGATAAGCACCGCCACTGTATCTGAGCTTCTTTCATTGTCAGAAATGGTCTTGATAGCTATCTCGAAGGTTCGATCTAGGGTAAGCAGAAACGAGTTGCTCCACCTTGTGCACGCCCTCGCAAAAGGCGCGGAAAAATCAAACTGGAGTCCCGCGCGCTTGTTCGGTAATGACTCCAGGCAGAATACATTCGACGATCACTGGCGTATTGCCCGTTTCCTTTCAGCGAATATACGGGCAAAGATCAACCTCTTCATCAGTCGACAGGCCAATTCTGGACAGCGACTGCGATAGCAAGGATTGTTGACTTGGACGCGTGACCAATACAAAACACCGGATTTAAGTCAGGCCGGTTGTAGGCGACGCCAATGCTCCGAGTGTGAATACAAAAACAAGGTCGAGACTCGTTGAATTTCAACGACGGGTGCCGTTTTCCCGGATGCCGAAGGCGCTCCAATGGTTGGTGGTGAGGCTGAAGCTGAAAGAGGTCAAAGGTCCGCAGCCAGAAGCGCTAATTACTCTCCGTCGTCGCAAACGTAGATTTTGGGACTGGATTGGGATGGAGTTATTGGTGCACTACACGCTCGGGTTGACACGTGCCAGTGTCTGGAGCGGGGACTCCGGTTGTGGGACCGACCGGGGCTAGCAGAGGCTTAACCCGCCCTGCATATTTTTCCCCAGGGGGAGTGTTAGCGACGCCCAACAAGCGCGGCACGTACAGTGACTGGACAACTAGAGCCGCGCCAGTCCAGTCATCTTGCAATTTTAGCACGGAGGTACTAGATTGAGAATGGAGTTATAGTATACTACTCGATCGGGTTGACACGTGCCAGTGTCTGGGGTGTTCTGGTCGGGGACTCCGGTTGTGGGACTCCAGCTGTGGGACCGACTGGGGCTAGCAAAGGCTTAACCCGCCCTGCATATTCTTCCCCAGGGGGAGCATTAGCGACGCAGCGTCCAACAAGCGCAGCACGTACAGTGACTGGACAACTAGAGCCGCGCCAGTCCAGTCATCTTGCCGATGGATAACCGCTAAGCATATGCATTAGACGAGATGATTTAAATTGTGCCTTGGCTGAAATCTTAATTCATGATTGGAGCTGGCTTGCTTGCTTGCTTGGAATGGGGCCAACGATGGTGCGTTCACTTACACCGAGATACCGACGCGAGTTGATTTCCTCGTCTCGGCCTCGTAATTCCCCGGGCCCCACACTGGACTGGGATTAGCGCCCGTCTCGCAATTCGATAAACCAGCATCTCGACTTTGCGATTGGAGCGCTTGCATCTTATTCCCCCAGGAAAGTCGACGAGTATGTATCTCCAAAATCAGGCCATCACAAGCTGGGGAAACGGAGACATGCCTGGGGCGCGAGGGAGTACTTAAGGGACACCAAGGGCGCTCCTCGGTCTCGCTGCTGTTTGACCACTTCTCCATTGCAGACCGCTGACTGGAACATTGTCATCATCATGAATCCCCGCATCTACCAGTTCCTGGTGGGCGTGTTTGCGTCCTTCGGGTCGCTTCTCTTCGGTTACGACCTGGGCGTCATTGCCCAGGTCATCGCCTCCGAGTCATACCAAAGGACGTTTGGCGTCAGCGAAGCGGACCCCGAGACGTAAGTGTTCCCTGGTATCCTTCTCGTTGAGCGAGTCGGTCTTTCTGACGGATGCAGCGGTGCCGTTGTCGCCTTGTTCACCGGCGGTGCTTTCTTCGGTGCCATGTTCGCCAGCCCCACTGCCGAATACACAGGTCGACGTTGGACAATCACGATTGGTAGCATCATCTTCATTGTCGGTGGAATCCTGCAGACGGTCGCCCCAGAGATCTCGTACCTCATGGCAGGGCGGTTCCTTGCTGGTCTTGGTGTCGGCTTCCTGACGATGATCATTCCCCTGTACCAAGCCGAGATTGCGCATCCTTCGATCAGAGGTGAGTCAAAGAGCAATGGGGATGAATCGCCACGTCTCGTGACATTGACTGAAGCGAAACAGGCACTGTCACTGCACTCCAACAGTTCATGCTTGGCATCGGCGCCTTGGTCGCGTCCTGGACTGGATGGGGAACCTACAATGCCTACACAGACAACCGACAGTGGCGCATACCGTTGGGAATCCAAATTATCCCAGCTGTCATCCTTGGAGCCCTCATTTTCCTCTTCCCCGAATCCCCTCGTTGGTTGATGGACCAGGGCAAGCAGGAAAAGGCCCTCAAGACACTGGCTCGCCTGCACTCGAACGGCAATGAGGATGACCCCTGGGTCCGCGCTGAAATGGAGCAGATCCAGGAGAGCATCGCCGAGGAGCATGCAAATGCTGCGCAGTCATACACAGAACTCTTCACTGACATGTCCTGCTTCCGCCGTGTGCTGATCGCCTGCGGCCTTCAAGCCTCGATCCAGATGACCGGCGTGTCTGCCATCCAGTACTACTCTGTCACGATTTACGGCCAGGCAGGCATCGGACCCAGCGACGCCCTCAAATACCAGGCCATCAACTCGATCATTGCCCTCGTCGGTCAGGCCCTCTGCATTGCTTTCATCGATCGATTCGGCCGTCGCTGGACTCTCATCTGGGGCAATCTCTTCAACATGCTGACCTTTATCATTGCCACAATCATGTTGGTTGTCTACCCCCCCGGCAAAGGTAGCGCCGCCCAAGGCTGGGGTTTCATCATCGTCACCTGGGCATACAACTTCTCCTTCTCGGCCGCGTGCGGCCCCCTCTCGTGGATCATTCCCGCCGAGATTTTCGACACCCGCACCCGTGCCAAGGGTGTAGCCCTCGCAACAATGACCTCGTTCGCCTTCAACACCATGATTGGTCAGGTTACTGGCATCGCCATGGAGAATGTGGGCTGGAAGTACTACCTGGTATTTGTGATTTGCAATTTCACCAACGCGGCGTGCGTCTGGGCCTTTGTTCCCGAGACCAAACAGATGCCGCTCGAGGAGATGAACTACATGTTCACAAACGCGCCTTGGTTCGTGCCTTTTGTGGACAGGAGCCAATACACTGCGGATTTGCGCGCCGACTTGGCACGTAGGGCTGAAGTGATCGACGAGAAGCTGACAGCCAAGCATGAGATTGGAGCAGAGCATCATTGATCGGTTCACATCAATTCTGTCAGTAGGACGCTTGAGACGATGAATAGGCAATATGCGGCTGGGGGATACTGGGACCACTGCGACGATCGTTATTGAGTCCTATTAGATAATATGAATCAACGCATGCTCATGCCAAATGATGAAAAATCACACCCTGACATCCATCCTGCATTAGACAAGATGTACGGGTATGCAAGGGGCGGATGCACAACTTGCCTGAATGATTTGGCTGGGAACCCCATATCCCGTAGTTCTCGTTGAAAAATTTCGCAGCCTTTTCCAGCATCTCATTGGTGACATCTTCTCCAGGAAAGCGCTGGCAGGCGTTCTCGACACCTCGCAAGCTCATGGCTGGGGGGTATTCCAGGTCCGCGAAACTGTTTCCGGAGGCAAACAGGCAGGCAGTCAGAAGCGGTTGGGGCCGAGAATGCCTGTAGTCAATTGTATTGGTTCGATGATGATAATTCTGAGAGAAGGCGTTGGTCGTCTCATAAGGGAGCCAGAAAGTACAATGAACAATAATAAACTCTTGTCCACTGTCATGTCCCTTCCCCAATAATTAGCTGCCTGTTGGGGCCAATGTGGCGCTGGCCGCCAGATTGCAGGAGCCGTGTGGGGACCCGGGGGGCCCCGGCTGCAGGGCTGGCAAGGTGTTTTACCCGATTGGGAGGAGCGCCAAAGGAAGGTGTAAGTTACAATGAGCGTGTTCTCTTTTACTGGTTCAATGCAAAAACTCCATTAGGCTAAGTTATCAGGTATAGTAAATCTTAGTATCGTCCAAATTGGAAAAAGACCTAATGTTGCCCGATCCTCGAAACCGAGCCCTCCATCAGACCCTCTTATACTCTAGCTCCTCATGCTCTTCTTGTACCACCTTGACCTCCTGAATATTCCGCTCCATTCCCTCCTTACCTTCAAAGAGGTACGCCAGCTCCTCCAATGTAGGTCCAGACGTCTCCACGAAGAAGAAGTACACAATCCCAAAGACAAAGGCCACCCATACGCAATAGTAGATATAGAACTTCCACCCAATGTTCTCCAAGCCAACGGGATTGACGTATCCTCCAAAGATGGACGCGACCTGAATCGTCAGAAGCACGAAAGCCCATGTCTTGGCGCGCATCTGATAGGTGACAAGCTCAAGAGGGTATGTGACGATGAGGTTGGTCCACGCGCAGGTGTAGAAGCCTTGGAAGAGGAAAATGCAAGCCAGCACAACGCGCCCAGCAGCGATGGAATCGTGTTCCAGGTACTGCTGAGCCGCAATAGTCCACGCAACGAAGGTGACAAGGACGCCGCCCGATCCCGTCAAGAAAAAGGTGCGGCGCTTGAAACGGTCAATGACGACTGTCACTCCGAGCGCGACAATGTACTGCCAGAGGGTCACCATGCAGTTGATCAATGTGATGTCTTTGTCCTCCTTAATGCCAGTGTCTCTGAGGATCTGCGTCAGGTAGTTGGACACCAGAAGGTTGCCCGAGCTCTGGCTGAAGACGGCCGTGGCAAAGCAAAGCGCAATTCTCTTGAGGTTGGCCTTGGAGGAGAAGAAAGCATTCCACGTCATGTCTTGCTCCAGTTCCTCGGCAATGACCTTTTGGATTTCGGCAAATTCAAAGTTTACGAGTGCGGAATCGCTGTCTCCTTCCCCGTGGTACTTGACGAGGATCTCGCGTGCCTTTTCGGTCTTGCCCTTGGCAATGAGCCATCGTGGCGATTCTGGGCAGAAGAAAATGAGGCAGAGCTGATATGCCGAGGGGACGACCTGGATCAGGACAGGCAGCTTCCAAGACCACTGGCCCTTGATACGGAAACACCCATAGGTGCCCCAGGCTCCAATGACATAGCCAAGTGGAATCGATGTATTGTAAAAGGTCGTTGCCATCACACGTTCTTTCGGATGGCTGAGCTCGGTGACCAGGACAGGCGCGCCCATCTGGATTAGTGATGAGCCGATCCCCAGAACAATCTTCCCACCGATGAACATGTTCAAGGACGTCGAGAAGAACTGCACCAAAGCTCCCGCGATGATGATGATGGAGCCGAGTGCCGTGGGCCATCTTCGGCCGAGTTTGTCTCCTATCCAGCTGAGGAAGATAAAGGGAATTACGCCGCCGATGGCATTCGACGCGCCAAAGAAGCCAAGAACGGAACCTGTCGGATGGTTGAATTCCTCTTGCCACGTCGGAAGGACTTGCATGCCATTTGTCATGCTCTGCAATCCCCCTTGTTAGTGAAGTCTTATCCAAGGGCTGGCAATGATTGACTTACACCATCGATGCCAAGGGCAGCACTGGCCAGCAGCGACGAGGTGAGCAGGAAATACAGCAGAACGCCGTTCTTCCGCTTCCAGAAAGGGGGCATCGACTTTGGGTCAAGGGGTGCCACGATGCCCTCCGTGGCTTGGGCAGCTGACGGAGCCATTTTGTGAAGAATGTAAAGGCCCAGAAAGGTTGGATGTTGACGAGAGCTGACGATGGTGCGATGGCACTGTCATCATCACGATGGGAGTCCAGCTGTGTTATATGGCTCCTACGAGTCCCCTCGGCATTGATGAACTGCGACGTCGGATTCAGCTGAAAGGTCCATTCCCCGCTGCCATCAATTTGACCGAACCATTAGTGTCTTTCTTGACACCCCAACCCCACGGGGGCGATCAGAACGGAGGAACTCGACGACATTGGAGGGAAATCGGAGAATCGGAGAATCCACAGATTTTGAAGCTGCAGCCTCGAAACGCTAGGACAATTACACTCGGAGAATTGGCGATCGTCTACTTGATGGAGATTGTCTTCTCCCAGCCAACCTTTGCAGGAGAGGCTTAAAGGCAGAGCCGTATGTGGCCAGGATTCCACAACTCACAAACAAACACCCAGCCCTCACCATGTCAGCTTCACTCCCCTCAAACTTCCTCCTCGGCTTTGCGACCGCCTCCTACCAGATTGAGGGCGCTGTGGATGAGGACGGCCGTGGCAAGTCGATATGGGACACCTACTGCCACTTGGAGCCCACCCGCACCAAGGGCGCCAATGGCGATGTCGCGTGTGACCACTATCACCGCTTTGAAGAAGACCTGGATCTGCTTCAGCGGTACGGTGCTCAGGCCTATCGATTCTCAATCTCATGGTCGCGCGTCATACCAAAAGGAGGCCGCGACGACCCCCTGAATGAAGCCGGCATTTCATTCTATAACAGACTCATTGATGGCCTCATCGCTCGCGGGATCACCCCATGGGTCACCCTCTATCACTGGGATCTCCCACAAGAGCTGCATGACCGGTATGGAGGCTGGCTTGATGTCCAGGAATCTCAGGCGGACTTTGAGCGTTATGCTCGTGTCTGCTACGAGCGTTTCGGTGACCGTGTCCGGAAATGGATCACATTCAACGAACCGTGGATTCAGTCCATCTTTGTGAGTCAACCCAACGCAACATTCAGTGCATGAATCTCAGCCTAATATGCGACAGGGATACTCAACTGGTGGAAATGCGCCTGGTAGAAGTAGCACAAACTCACAGAGCTCGGAAGGTGACTCTTCAACGGAGCCTTGGATAGCGGGGCACGCCCAGATCATGAGCCATGCTCGCGCTGTCGCTGCGTACAACCGTGACTTTAAGCCACGTCAGGGAGGTCAAATCGGCATCTCCCTGAACGGCGATTTCTTCGAGCCTTGGGACAGCGAGGACCCTCTCGATGCCGAGGCTGCAGAACGAAGAATGCAATTCCACATTGGGTGGTTTGCCAACCCCATCTTCCTGAAGCAGGATTATCCCGCCTGCATGCGGCAGCAGTTGGAGTCTCGACTACCAAAGTTTACGGAAGCGGACTTTGCGTTGTTTCAAGAGGCAGAATCAGACTTCTACGGAATGAACTACTATACATCCCAGTATGCGCGTCACCGTACTGGCGCGCCTTCAAAGGACGACTACCTGGGCAGCGTGGAAGAGTTACAATGGAACAAACAGGGGCGGTCAGCTGGGGAAGCGAGCGGGCTTCACTGGTTGCTTTCCTGCCCAGAGATGTTCCGGAAGCATCTGACCCGCGTGTACAAGCTGTACGGAAAACCCATCTACATCACCGAGAACGGCTGTCCCTGTCCAGGGGAAGACAATATGATGCGTGAAGAGTCTGTCAAGGATGATTATCGGTGCCGATACTTTGCGGATCATTTGGATGCCATCGGTCGATCCACACGGGAGGACGGCGCGGTTGTGAAGGGGTACTTTGCGTGGTCATTGATGGACAATTTGGAGTGGTCAGACGGCTATGGGCCTAGATTTGGCGTCACCTTCACAGACTACGAGACCCTTGAGAGGACGCCGAAGAACTCAGCCCTGCTACTGAAAAATATGGTCAAGGTGAGGTGTCAGTCTGTTCAGTAAGAGCAGTATTGCCATATTGTCGTTGCGAAGCAGCTCTGATTTGATCAGCTCATGTGGTATTCAGGGGGGGGATAACTTTCATGAAGTGGGACACGCGGGAATCACGGTTTGCTCATCTGAATTGTTCATTCGTAGACCTTGGGTAGAACGAGTGTCTCAATTGTTCCTTCTACAGATACGAAACACTACATGAATAAAGAACAGAAGATTGAATGCAATGCGTCACGGATATCATCCATCATTGACCGTCATTTAGCAAAGACCGGCCTTGTCGGGCTCGCAGTCACCATCGGACTTGTCGCAGCCTTCATAAGCCTGGCACTCGGTCTTGGGGAAGCAGTTGTTGCTGTAGGTGGCCTATATGCATTTGTCAATCACTGCTTGGTTTGCTATCTTTCGAGTGAGAACGTACCTTGTCGCCCAAGTTGGTGTTAATGCCCATGAGCTCGCCACCGTCGACAGCCGTCACGCCCTCCATGTGGACCGAACGGGCGCAGTTGCCACTGCAGTTGCCGCAAGAGCGGTAGACCTTGCCGTAGTCCTCGGCGTAGAAGTTCTTGATGTTGACGTGGCCGCATCCGTTGTGCTGGATGACCTTGTCGGCGGCGTGGTACGCGCCACCACCGATAATGTCGGCTGTGCCGTCACCCTTGATGGAGATGGCATCCTCGCAGACGTCCTCGAACCAAAGGTTCTCCAGCGTGCACGAGCCAAGGCAGTACACACCCTCGCCCTGGTCGGCGCCGATGATGACGTTGCGCAGAGTGGCACCCTCCTCGAGGACGAAGACTGTGTCAGCCTCACCACCCTCGGCCTGGCCGCCGCAGCTAACACCGCGGTCATAGGTCATGAAGCCAGCGTCAAAGGTCTCGCCAGGGGCAATGTATCGAGGCTCGCTGAGGCTCTCGTGGCCTGTAGATGCGGGCATGGCATCTTTGCCGACGCAGGCCAGAGCGAGCGGCGCAGCGACGAGGATGGAGGCAATCTTGAAGGCAGACATATTGGTGAAGTGTGTGTCGAGAGTGATTGTTGGGTCAAGAAAGAGCAGGTGAGTGCAAGTTGATATTGTGAGTGCGACGAGATGTGTTGATGGGCAAGGCAAGTTTGGCAACCACGCGAGAGGGTATGCTTAAAATACATGCTTTCTGCCAAATTCCTTTGAGTTCTCGGCGTTTCACACTTTGCTGAACTCGTCCTCGGATGGTCGTGTCCGCGATCTTCATCATCTCTTCTGGATCGGGGTCCTACGCGGTGGTTTGACGGGCGCAAGAATGGGGCCGAAACATGTATTGCGGGACTTGTTAGTTCGAGGCGGAGCCGAGCCGGGGGCTCTAAAATTCCTCCACTCATGGCGTCTGCCATGGACGAATAGAGTGTGGGAGATGCAGGTCAGCTTGAGTTAATGATGAAACGATGAAGGCCCTCCAATGGCTTGATTCCAGGTTGACGGGATCTGGAACTTGGAAATCCACGCGAACCCCCCGCCTCCCCTCCCCCAATGCCGCATTCCAGGGGAGGGCGTGCATCGTGCATGACGGCCCACGGGAATTGGCTGGTTCCCAACTCAGGCGATCCTGCATCGTGCCGGCAGTTGAGACGCAGTCGATCAATCAACGCGCTTCGGTGTAACATTGTGACGGAGCAGAGGAATTACACAGTCCCGACCTCCCAGGGATTCCAAATGCTAGCGTCTGAACTACCTAGCCCTCTACCTACGATAGCGGAAGAAAGAGGCATCTCTAGGATCCGAACTACCTCCATAACTTGATTTATAGATTCATGTTGGAGCCGGATTAGATACCGCCCTTAGAAGAAGCCGCCAATCGTAAAGGTAGCCGAAGAAAATGAGAGGCCTCTTCATAAGTTAACAATTCGGATCCCTGGAGGCTGTAATTGGCTGTGGCGAAGACAACCGGCCGCGCGTCCCGTGCAAGGGTAACTTTGCCATTGTGTGCAACTTGGAACAATCTTAGTAACAAAGCATGTTCAATAAACATGCGGCAATAGCGCAGGTATCTCATTGAGGATGCTGAGACGCTTGAACGTGAAACTTGTTCCAAGGTTGAGCGGGGACTCCGACGCAACGGAAAGACTTGATCGCGAAGAAAACTTGATTGAACTTCTAAGGCATGTTCCACTGGAAACAGCCGACACACCCCTGACACAAAGCTTGTGCCAGTGTCTAATCACTGTATGCTTCGAGCACATGACGTAAAGTCCTTTAGCCCAGCATCGGTGATTGGCACGGATGGCAGACACAACTCAACATCCTCGCCCTTCAGTTCGTCGCCAAAAACCATTGAGTACTCGCGCTGGGACAAAGTCAGTCATCCTCCCTGCGCGTTCACTTTGAATGCCATGATCTTACCTCTGCAATGCGGATGAACTCGTGGTAAATGCCATCCTGCTTCAGCTTGTCACGCACAAGGTCCTTGACGCCACCAAGAACGGATACGACGGTGAGCACCTTGCTGTCCCACGTTAAGATCCCAGAGACACCCTCGCCGTCGATGCGGGTGGATTCTGTGCTGCCGTACTGGTCTGAACAACGTCAATACTGCTGGGTCTGGCACGTCAAATGAGGACAGAAACTCACTCTGCATCTTCTTCCCGGACACCATGTTATGCCACCACGCCAGGCCGACGGCCCTGTCAAACATAATGACTGGCCAAGCGGCATAAGGGGTCACGACTTCGAGATATTGCTCTGTCTGGTTCGCAATCGAGGGGATACCTGCTGGTGAAATGTACCCGAGAACTTCGTTGGTCTCGGAATCGGTGATATTGTTCACAGAAGCGAGCAGACCCGGGTTCTCGGTGAAGATCGAGTTGCACGTACGGACGCGCTCGTGATTGTGATACAGGCGCCGGATGATTTCGACGTCGTAGTAAGGGAGCTCGAGGACCTTCCATGGTTCGTGGCCAGAGAACCAGAAACCCCTCTCGACAGTGATGGGACCGACATTGCCCTCATGATACTCGTCTTTGACGAGCTGGGGTCTCTTGACTTCCCACAGGGCATCCTCCTCGGATTCAGAGAGGTCACCGAAAAGATGGAAGAAGAAAGCCACGAGCTCTCCCTCGTAAGGGTCGTTGAGCCTTCCTTCGCCCTCGCATTCGTAACTCTGATCAGGGTGGTTGACCGGCAGGAACTGGTCGCCGATCGTGGTGACGGCGCATATCGATCCATTGCCTCTGTAAAAGATCTCCAGCATGTTGGGAGTAAGGAAATCGAGCCACACCTGCCAGCGCTCGGCCTGCTTCGCGTACTCCTTCTTGTTCGTCTTCTCGAGCGCTTGAATCCAAGCGTACACGGCCCACCAAAGCTCGCCGTTGTCCAGAGCTGGTACCCGATTCACCCAGTCAGGCTGGGGTACAATATCCTGGACGTCGGCTTTGAACCATGGGATGGCGCCGCCGAACCCAGGATGCGTCTCGTTGAACTTGAGGTATGTCTCGAGCTTCTTTTGCATGAGATCAAGGGCGATCTTGGGGGCTCTCTCGGGGTGACGAGAACTCAAGAACTGGGCCGCGTCGCGCGATCCCTCAACCGCGCGCGCATACAGCATGATCTGTAGTGCCTATGGCCCCATGTTGCGTGAGTACCCTGTCCACCTTTGCTTCGAACAAAGTGAGTACTGACCTCCTTACTTGCTGCGCTGAACGGCTTCGTAGAGATGGCCTCGCCAGAGTGCCAATCCAAGATGGAACCGTCATAAGACACTCCATTGCCGCCATTGTAAGCAACATCAGGCTGATGGAATTTGCCCTCCCAGTGAAGCATCTGGGCCGTGAACCTGTCCGTGTCTGCGAGGATCTGGTCTTGCGTCCAGTCTTGGGCAAACCGACATTGGTCCTTGGGTGGCTTGGACTTAGCAGACGAGGCTGCTCCCAGCGCCAGTGGAAGGAGAAGCAAGGATTTCATCGCAGGCGTTGTCGTGGACCTCGGAGATTGGAGACGGTGATGGTTGAGTTTTGCATTGGCCTCTGGTCGCCTTTAGCCTACTTATACGCCAAGCAGAAGGATGCCGGACCTCATGAAATGCCGGAGGCTTGCTTCTTCTCTCCACACTCTACCCCAGAAAGGGCTCGTGGTTGGGGTTGTGGGGTCCACGTGCTTGGGATGGTCGTGAGGAGGTGTGCTCCGACGGGAACGGAGAATCAGAGCTTAGCGCCCCCTCCTTTGCTTAGCTTGGACCTTTTGTCATTTGACCGATTGTCCGACGGTTCTACCCTCTGCCTCATCCTTCACTCTGCATTTCTCCTGCAGATGCTCGCCAATCTCCGTCGTCCCACGAAAGGAAGCTGCCGCCAGCATTGGCACGATGGAGACAGAATCTCCTGCGATACCAAGCCGTCAATATCGGACTAGGAGGAGGACGCTCAATAGTCGAGCATGTGATCGCTGTCGTCGGAGAAAAGCCAAGGTCAGATCATTCTCCGCCGTGAGCGAGCGACTTCTGTAGTAATGTGCTGCCGCAATTGACATGTCGAACAGTGTGATACTCTGAGCCCACAAGTCCCTTGCTCTTCCTGCCGATTAGCTGACGCGCCATGTACCTTTGAACTCCCCTTGGCGAGGCGAGGACCAAAGGCAAGACACCGAGTTGGCACCTCTTTGACCGCAAACGAGGAAGAGTCAACCATCATCGCCATTGACGATGAGGCCACTGCCCAGGCTGAGGAGGATGCAGATGACCGGCTGAACTCGACGTCACAGCTCATACGGGAAGCTGATCAAGGTGGCTTTGGCAATGGCGCTTCTATATCTACATCTCCAGCGGCTTCATGGGCTGGGTCGCTTGTCGAGCAACCTCCGCTCACGGCTCTGCAGCGTTGGCAACGGCTGTCTCTCGCCCTGTCACTCGCCAATGCGGACCCGGACCAGATTGTGTCTCGATGCATCGATCTTTTCTTCAAATATCTCTACCCTCTGACACCATTAGTCCATGAGCCAGGCCTGCGCAGCGACTTGGACAAGTTTGCCTCGGGGAGCAGCATCTCAGAGATCGGTGCATGGCGAGCCGATTCAGCTTTTACGCTGATCACGGCCGTCTGCGCAGAGGCTGTCTTCCTGCTGCCGAGCGACGTGTTCCCTGAGAGTACCGAGGCCGTTGGCCACATCTTCCTCCGCGCTTCGCGAGATTGCCTACACAGCTATCTGGAAGCTGATCTCGAGTCACCCGACGCCAACTCGCTTGCCATCCGGTACTTTCACTCCAACTGCATCCATGCCACGGGAAAGCCCAAGTACTCGTGGCACATTTTTGGGGAAGCCACTCGTCTTGCGCAAGCCATGCAGTTGCACCAAGAGTCTTCTCTGGAAGGCCTCACGCCGGTCGAGGCTGAATTCCGCCGTAGGGCGTTCTGGATCGTGTACATGGGGGACAAGTCAGCTGCGATCCTCAACAACCGACCCATCACACTCCACCGCTTCTCCTTTGACGAAGACCTCACGACCGCGTTCCCCATGGGCCTGGAGCACGAGTCATGGGATTTTTCCGCAGTGTCTCCCGATACGCCGTCTTCGCTGCCTATGCAGAGCAGTAGTCTCATCACTGGATTCAACGCGAACCTCCAACTATGGCAAGCCGCTTCAGAGCTCCTGCTTGAGCTTCGTCTATTGCAAGACACGCAGAGGGATTCGATGGTCGCGGGCTTGATGGCGCGCTCGGCGCCCAGTGTCGAGCAGCGACAGCGACTTGACGCGTTACATGTCCACTTCACCACTTGTCTGGACGAGTTGCCAGCGTACTTGCAGTCGTGCACACTCGCCACAGCCAGCGGACAGAGCCTCATGCATACAACTCAGCTTGTGATCCAATGCGCGAATTTGCAAGTGTCCTTTCACTGTCTTCGCATGGTGATTACCCAACGCTTCGAAGACATGTCCTACTACGGCACGAGTCTTGAGCAAGCCGACCTGCGCCGAACGGAAATTGCCCGGGACATGTTGCGCGTCATGCAGGAGGCCCCCTTTTGGAGTCTGCAGGTTAACGGCGAGCCGTACGTCGAGAAGATTCGCTTGATAGGCGCCAGCCTGCTCGCCATTGTGCATCGAAACCCAGGTTCGCCGCTAGCGACGAGGGCGAGGGCGGACTTTATGGTGCTGCTCGACACGCTCACCAGGCTTGACAGCAAGGCTTCTGACGCGTTGAGAAGTAACATGATGTGACATGTCGTTGGTACGCTACGTCGTTTGCCTCGGCCGAGGGCAACTCTCTCAAACCCTTCACGTTGTGGCGCTGTTTGCCTTGGTGGTTGTGGAACTTGTGGTGCAAAAATAGACTCGCTGGAAAACTTTGAGACACTTGACGCAAATAGCGAAACAAGAAGGTCGACGGGGGGATCGAACCCCCGACCTTTCGCGTGTGAGGCGAACGTGATAACCGCTACACCAGTCGACCTATAACTCTAATAGGTCTCAGTTGCTTCAAGGAGAGAAAATTATACCGTGCACATACGGTGCGTCTCATCCGCCCCTTTCTTTGTCATGTCACGTGCCTGCGCACCCCCCTCGGTGGCTGTTAATGTCACCAACTACCCTGTACATAATTCTGCCATTGTTCTTCAAATTCGACAGTGTCTTGAATGACGCCAGCGCGAATACTGCACGCGCGGCGAATCTAATGGGGAATAAATTCTCTTGCTCACAGTGCTGCGCCTTGGGATGCGATGTGCACATGGATTTTGAACCCAGAATTAGCCAGCGGAAGCGGCGCAGGCAGTCAGTATGTAACAATAAGCGGGTCCGGGCGTCTCTTCTGCCCTTGCTCGCGGCGGCGCTCCGGGGCCCAATTCTTGTGGTAACGTCAGATTCGCCCAAAGGGACTCTGGAGTTTGAATGCCAATTTCCTGGCCGTCATGTCTCTCGGCGTTGGCAGTAGGACTAAAACTTGCCGTAAATCGCCCATGGCCCTGCCCGATCCTGTAGCGAGGCAAGCTGCCTAAAACACTGAGAGATCCCCCTGTTTCTAGTACCGTCGCGCGGGGGGCAACGCAGCACCGCAATTGGCAAAGACCACCATGAAACAATGCACAGAAGCCCACCCAAATGCGCCAGTACAGATGAGGCTCGTTTCCGAATGATTGATTGGCTCGCAGCCCCTTTCTGAGCGACCCAAGCGGGCTCCAAGCCTTGGCCAGGCGCAGCGATCAACGTTGCAGGGCATCATGCGCGGATGGGCAGGATTCATAAATACATACAACTAAGACCAATCCTTTGGACGAGAATCGACACAATGAGAACCACGCAACAGTATGATGCAGCAACATCAATGAAACAAGGACGGAATAGTGCTGACCGTGTTCCCGTTCTTCTCAGTCTTGTTCTTATTTAAGTAGACGATCAAGCCACATTGGCACGCCTGGATTCACCTTGTTCGAACAGGACAGTCAGTCACCACTCACTCACCTTTGACACGATCACATTTGGGCAATTCAGATTTCACAATCTTCAACAAAACAGTTTGAACCAACTCACTATCATTCGCACACATACGTCTCTCGCAGCCCAACCACCAAAATGCACCTCCCCTCCATCGCAGCCCTCTGCCTGACCTGCGCCTCCATGGCGTCGGCCGTCTGCGTCACACAAGAGATGGTCGAGACCATTGCACCAAAGTCCAAGGAGTGCCCTCCGTCCATGCTGCCCGAGTGCCGAACCGCGGCAGAGGCCGCGCCCTACATCACCAGGGCCTTCCACCGGTACGGCATCTACAACCCCAATGCCATGGCCAGCGTCATGGCCCTCATGGCCCTCGAGTCGGGCGAGTTCCAGTACAAACGCAACGCATTCCCCGGTCGTCCTGGTCAAGGCACAGCCAACATGCAGATGGCCGAGTTCAACCTCAAGTACGCAAAGTCCATTGGGAGGCTCGAGCCGCGCGTCGCCAACGTCACCACCGTGGACAGGCAGTCTGACACCGAGCTCAATCGCATCCTCGATCTTGTCGTGGCCGACGACTATAACTTTGGCAGTGGTGCCTGGTTCCTCCGTTCAGAGTGCGGCGAGAAGGTGCTGTCCGCGCTAAACGAGGACGTTGACGCTGGATTCGCAGCGCACATGGATTGCGTTGGCGTCGAGGCGGACAATGAGGAGCGCCAGGCGTACCTCACCCTCGCCAAGCAGGCGTTTGATCTGTGAAGGGTGAGCATTTCATTTGAGCATTAGCAGAAGTTTTGGGGTTTCCTTCTGGCATCATGTAGCGAGCCGCACCAGTACATTCATCATGCATGCAAATAATCTGTCCCACCCGCCGCTGGATCGCGGAGATCGGTGCTTGTCCGAAATGTTTCGATTCTATTGTGATCCCGCTAGTACCCTTCAAGTTATGTGTTGTTTTTCTCAGTGCCTGCTGTCCTCCTACCCTCGTCCGAAACAGATGGCGCATCGTCATCTGAATGTTGTGTTTCGACCGTGACATGTGTCGACTTAATAACATACTGTTGGCTCAACCTCGAATGCTCGTCATCCAACCGATCCCACTGCGAAGTGTCCGTGCAACGGAGGTTGGCAAGCCCACCTCTCTTGGTCATGCCTCCGATATTGCTGAGTTGTGTCCCCCCCTCATTTGTTGACAACCCAGATTTGGCTCCAGATGCACCTGTAGATCCCAATTGCTTGTTGAATAATTTCCGTAGCGGGGACAGGGAGCAGGCCATGATTCCGAGACCGGCGTCGAGGACTCACCACAGAATTGTGTGACCGAAGCTGTCTGCGTCGCGGCGTCAGCATCAAGACACAACACGATGCGAAGGAGCTCACTGTACTTACGCATTGAATTATTTGGGTCTTAACGGTATCGTACGTGCGGTAGTATCCCAATCGCACCAAGCCAGCAGCGCTCCCAAAGATACCCGGCCCCAGGATGGCCTGGACCGACCTCTTCCTCCTGGTTGGCATCTGCAGACCCTCCAAGAAGAAGAAGGGCGTGATGACGCACGTCTAACCCATCATGGCTAGGACAACCGTCCCTGCGTAGCTGATAATGATCCATCCGTGTTCGATGCGACAGAATCCCAAGTCCGGGTTCCACATGGCAGGTATTGGCGAGCAGCTCAAAAACATGATGATGAGACATACTGCCGCGTTGATCCAAAGCACCATCGTGTTACCCCAGATGATTCTTGTAAAGAACGTCGTGGAGCTCCCGTACGTACTCTCGGGCAACTGCCAACATGGCCCCGGGGTGCCCGAGCAGTTCGATTCCAAATTCACATGTGCAATAGCCTCTTTTGTTTTCCAAGGACGTCTTTCGCGGAACAGGTCTGAGAATCCGCGTGTTCTTAGACGAGTGGCAACGGGATGGGCAGCGCCGCAACACCCGCGACCCTGAGTCTTAACCTGTTCGAACAAGGGTTCAACAAAAGCTCGGGCCGCCTGGGCTTGTCGAGACCAGGAATTGGCAGTTTGGAATCTCCATACACTCGTCGCTCAATGACAAGATTCCACAATTAAGAAGACATGGGCCGACTTTTCGCACGCTCGTGCTGTCAACCATTTCTTCAGTCCCCCTCATCAGACTGCTCGCAGCCAAATGATTGTGAAGGCCATTTCGACGCTTTTTTTTTTTTTTTTTTGCGAAAAACCCTCTCATCCACTATTTTACGATGATAGGAGGGCGGGGAATCCGGATCCTCATTGACAGCAGGGCGGTATGGCAGCATGGCTCCATCTCGGCCAGGCTCAGGAATCAGGCCCATCATCTTCAACGCCAGGACACCGACCGACCGACGCTCGTCTGCTGGCACGACAAGAAACCTGGGAATCGAGGCGGTATAGAGAGGAGGAAGGAGCTTTTGTACCAGGAGTACGTAGTAGATGAACGAAAGCCGTCATGATTCAAGTCGGGCGAAGGTGTTGTTGTCGACCCACCTCCTGCGAGTTCCGGCATAATCTCCAATTCCAATGTGACCTCTCACATTCTTTGATTTGCTAGTTCCCAGAACAGGCCTGATTTTCATCGGTACTGGTTACTGTCCTCCGTCAGCCTCAGGTCATGCACTTATCAAAAACACAAGATGTTTGGACCCTTGCATTGAGAAGGATTGCGATCAAGACAGCGGGGACCACTCACCAGCGGATAAGTCAAGCTCTACCAGGCATTTCACTAGTTCGTAGCAACAAGTCCCGTCAATCTTGCATTAGCGTAAGCCGCCGTCAGGTTAAGCGTTTCGATATGCGAACGCGCGGAGGGATGAAGGTGGGATGCCTGGTTGAATACTTTCAGATACGCATGTCCTATGCATGACCGAAAAATCATCCGTATGTATCCGTAGTAAAGTTCGGCAGTAATACTCGGCATGGGAGTGGAAGATTTGCTCGAGCATTGAGTTCACTGTCCATGGACAGTCCACACATCATTATCTCGAACATGGGACACGACTCTCCAAGCGACGTGTCAGATTCTCAACTCCCACAGCTAAGCTGGACAGGCCCTGCAGTATCATCTCCGGAATCTTTGAAAAGGAGGAACCCTGAGGCGGCGAGGGGCCCCTTCGAGTCAAGTCGACGGTGAAGAGCGCGTGATGAAGTAATAGACAAAGTTATCCAGAGCACAGGCTCTCATAAGAGTCTCGTTCCCAGCATCTGGATAATTCCACACCTCGTCACCGTCACCATGTTTGGATTTGGCGGGCGAGCAGCGCCTGCACGGGTCGCCACAGACTGCGTGGTGCCCGTGGGGTTCTTCGACAATACCATCATCTTCCGCACGCTTGTCCTATACACCCTCTTTGCATTCGACGATGTACTGGATCCGTACAGGCTGCGCACGTCGCTCGCGCGTGTGGTCGCGCAGCCTGGGTGGAACAAGCTGGGTGCGCGTGTGCGCAGAAATGTAGGCGGACGAATCCTGTTTGTTGGAGCGACGCGATACTGGTCAGTGATCGACAGTCGGGCTGATCTTCGAGATGATAGACATCCGGTGATCTTGACCACCACATCTTCTTGTCGTACTCCGAAGAGCGTCCTGCCATCGGATACGACCATCTAGACCTGGGTGATGGGAACTTGGAGGACCATCCCGCAGCATCACACATTCCAAAGCCATCTCATGACAGCCACTCAACCGTTGTGAGCGACCCCGACAAGCTGGTGGACCTCTACTCGAGCCCTGGTATCCCCAAAGGCCTCGACGACTACATATACTCGGACAGGCCTGAGCTTGGGCTGCGGGTGGTTTCGTTCAAGAACAAGACCATTGTGGTCCTCCACTGGATTCATCGCATGCTGTGTGTGTCACCCGAATTCCTTAAGAAGCTGAGGAAGCAGGGCCCTTGATGAATTCAAATCGAAGGCTACAGAGGCCGGTCAAGAGGATGTACCTTTCATCTCCGAGGGCGACGTGCTGCTGGCCTGGACGCGTCATCCAGGCCATGACAGCCAGCCTGTCGCGGGACTCGGAGACGACCATCGCCGTCCAGCAGGCGTACCAATTCCGACCTGTGCTCAAGGACCTAAATCCCGTGGGCCGGCCGTTCCTCAGCAACTGCGTCAGTTTCCTAGTCTCCTTGATGCCTGCGAAAGACGTTACCCTGAAACCGCTGAGCCACTTGGCGTCGAGCATCCGTCACTTGATCAAGGAGCAGGGCATACGCGAGCAGGTCGAGGCGTACACGTCCCTCGTCCGCGAGGACCCAGCCAACCACGCACCTCCCTTCTTTGGCGAGAGCGGGATGCAGCTCATCATGTTCTCCAACTGGTCAAAGTCCAACCTGTTTGCCACCGATTTGTCCGCGGCAGCGGCGAAGTCCCGGAGTGAGCCTTTGTGTTCGTCCTATTTGCAGAGCGTGCAGGGGCCGTGTAACTTCAACGACGGCATTATTGTCGTTGGCAAGGACATGCAGGGCAATCATTGGCTGTCAGGATACAGAGCTTGGGGCCTCTGGGGCCTCATGGAGGAGGAGATTGCCAGGCAAAGGACGCAATTGATGGTTTGAGTCTGTGGTCACAAAGCGGGGGACTATCTGGACGGGCCAGACGTTCGAGGGGCTGGTAGCATGGGTGATGACGTGGGGAGAAACTTGGCAAGCCCTGTTTGGACTTGGGAAGTGACTCGAATTTGGTGTTTGTATGGTTGCATGATGCTACTGCCTTACCCTGTACCAGGCGCAAACTACCAGCGACTACGGAGTAGTCAGCCTTATGGCTGAATGTTATCTGATAATTACCAATACAGAAGGGGCGTGGCTATTCAGGCTGAGACATTTCTGGTTTGGTGTTGTGCACCTCGAACCCTAATCAGCTCGCTATTTTGTGATCTGGGTGCGATTCAGTTCCCCAGAATTCTTTTGTCTTGTGCTTTGCTTGCACGGAATATGTCCGCAAATAGAAAACCATTTCGCCGTCCAACAAAATGGTACCAACTTTGATGCTTTCATAAGAAATGTAGCTTGCGACATAAGCTTAGTGGATGGAGTGTTGGCTGCGTACGCTGGGCTGTTCTGTGTGCTCCGTCCAGACACGGGGCTCGGTAACGATTCGCCGCTGCCACTCAACAAGGTCAGGATTATCGCCGTGTCGGATCTGCCGTGCCGAGCGTAGGATTTACTTTTGGCTTTCCCAATCTGGGAAACAGATACGTTTTCATCTCTACGGCAGAAAAGATTTCAGCAGTGGGCAAGTGGACGGGGAAAGTCGCCTGTGTGCAGGAGGGCCAGCAGTGCCACCTGCCCATGTCCCATGAGATGACAAGAGCCTGGGCCCATCAGGTACAAGCCGCTGTCTCTGGGGATCACCAGGCTTCTTTCTGTGCGCACTTTTGTTTAAAAACGTGGCAAAATACTCTAACGACAATTGCAGACAAGCTCTCTTGTTCAGACGACAGGAAAGCGCTTCAAGTGTGGAAAGCTGACGGCCGATCCTGGACGGGTCGGCATCGTCCGGCAGCGGATCAAATGTGGGGAGCCACGATACTAATGGCGCGGTCAGGTCCCTTTATGCAGAAATTGTCGCTGCCTCAGAGGCAAACGTGAGCTGTTTGTCCAATGGCTGTTCGGTGACTCGAGGAGCGAACGGTCTGACCTCCTTGGCTGACGGCATGCCAACTTGAAGTGAAACGGCACGGGACGCAGCTAAGACGAAGCATCCAGAGTGGTCCTGGTCTTCTAAGAACGAACGCACAGTAAAAGAATGCTAGCGAGGCTGCCAAGGATCTCGCTACGGCCTAATATAGTCTAGACTCTAAACCGTCTTCCTTTGGCACATTGAAATGGGTCGTGGCGCCATTTCTTATTATGCTTTCCCGGCAATACGGCAGTCCCTTCTTTTCCAGCCTCTTTTCGACGGAGCTGAATGGAGATGATGGTGTTGCGAGAACTCAATTGAGTATCCGTATGCTCTCTTTCGTTATAAGTGGCATAGGTCATCAACGCTCTGAGGTTGTTCGCCAGCAGCCCGTACTATACCTCACCTAGTCTTCTTCGTTTCCCACGGCGAACTCCGCTCAGCTGGCCTAGAAGCGGTTTCGATTCTCTTAATATGCAATTCTTAGCATTGTTTGGCCTCTTGGCCACTATTGTAAGTGCTCGCTGCCGACAATCTCATTGCTCTGGCTTCTCCAGCAATAATAAGCTATCTCTAATGTCCTCTCCAGGGTCTTGCGTCTGTCGTTTACTCAGTCGCGTTTAACCTTTATTTCCACCCTTTGAGCAAGTTCCCTGGGCCATTGGCACTTCGCGCGACCAGACTTGGCTTCGTCTACAAGCTCGTCACCGGTTCCATCCCCTTTGATGTGTTAAGGCTCCATGAGAAGTACGGCGATGTCGTTCGCATCTCTCCCGACCAACTTGCCTTTGCGCACCCTCAAGCATGGAAGGACATCAGTACGTCGCTCCAGCCCCTGGGCCCTAGCCCTGAGTAGCAATTCATCTGACAGACCCGACAGTGGGCCATCAAACCACCGAGATGCCCAAGTACAAGAATTACTACAGCCCCATAGCCGGCGCACCTCAACACATTGTCAACGCTGATCGTGAAGAGCACGCTGCGCTGCGCCGTGCCCTCTCGCATGGCTTCAGTGAGCGCAGCATCCGCGACCAGCAGACCATTATCAAGCCGTACATTGACTTCCTCATTGAGCGCCTGCACGAGAAGTGCGACAATGGAGTGAGCACGCAGGATATGGTCATGTGGTACAACTACACAATGTTCGACGTAATTGGCGACCTGTCCTTTGGCGAGTCTTTTGGGTGTCTCGAGTCGGGCGAGTACCATCCCTGGGTCCGATCATTCTTCAACCTCGCCCAGACAGGCACCTACCTCTACGGCGCTAGCTGGTGGCCCACGCTGCAAAAGATGATCATTAAGTCCATTCCCAAGAGTTCAATTCAGGAGCAAATTCAAATGTATTTGATGACCGTCAAGAAGACAAAAAAGAGGATGGACATGGTCGAGACACGCGCCGACTTTGCCCAGGCACTGCTCGACAGGCGGGACAAGATTGTGAGCAGCCTGCGATGTGCTGGATGCTTCTCTATTGCTAACATGCTCAGGGTCTGAACATGCAAAAGCTCGAGGCCAACGCCAACACCCTCGTCGTTGCCGGCTCCGAGACCACGGCGACAGCCATGTCTGGCATGACCTTCTACCTCTTGAAGAACCCAGATGCCCACCAGAAGCTCAAGGACGAGATCCGGGGTGCATTCAAATCTGATGAGGAGATTGACTTTCACGCTGCCAGCAACCTCCCCTATCTGCAGGCTTGCATCAACGAGACTCTGCGCGCATATCCTCCCACGCCCAGTGGCCTTCCTCGGACTGTCCCTGCCGGGGGTGCGACCATCTGCGGACAATTTGTCCCGGAGAATGTAAGATCTCCCCACACTGAAGTCTTGCTACTTCGGCATCTTAACGATTCCAGACCGTCGTCGCCATCTACCAATGGGCCATGCACAACCGCAGGGAAAACTTTAAGTTGCCGAACGAATTCCATCCCGAACGCTTCCTCGACGACGAGCGCTTCAAGTACGACAACAAGGACGCCTTCCAAGCCTTCCATGTCGGTCCGCGCGCGTGCATTGGCAAGAAGTGAGTCCTCTCTCCAATCACCTATGATGAATGACTTCTGACATCATGCAGCCTTGCCTACCTCGAGATGCGTGCTATCATGGCGCGTATTATCTACAATTTCGACATGGAGCTCTCACCCGACTGTCAAGACTGGATGTCAAGGCAAAGAGTGTTTGACGTGTGGGAAAAGGACGAGCTCAAAGTGCACCTGAAGCCGGTTTCGAGGTAATAGATTGGCCCAAGCAAGCTGGTCTTGGGGCGCGTTCCTTATCACAGCATGTATACCCCGAAATGAGGGTGTAGATACGAATGATGAATTGCCCACAACGTCTCTTAATTGTTGCTTGTTCTTTATTCCCTGCGCGGCTCGTATCGATCCGACTCATGCTCTATGGGGCGGTACGTGATATAGTCAAACTGAGCCGACTTGGCCAACCCGTTGCAGTCCGAGGCAGCGACACCCACAAAGGAACCCGTGAAGCTGCCGTCGACCTGGTGTCCGCCACACTCATCTGACACAATCGTCGCATCGAATACAGGTCCAAACTTCTCGAGCTCCTTGCCCTCGAGCGCGTACCAGAGCTGCAGCGCCGACCCACGCACAGTCACCGCCAGCTTGACTTTCCCGTCGTTGGGGATCTGTATGGCCGCTGGGCCCGGACTCTCCAGCTTGCCGCCGGGCCATGAGGCCTCGGAGCTCATGATGAGAAGCTCCCTCTGGCCATCCGCGTGTGCCGTCACGGTGAGGTAGAAGAAGTTGTAGCGGCAGTAGTAGACGGTCAGGCCCGCAAACTGTCTCTCGTCGTCTGGCGCGTAAGAAATGGTGGTCTCGGCGTCAAAGGAGAAGTGCGTCTGGCGTCTGGCGACGAGGGCCTGCTCGAACCACGAGCCGATGGACTCGCGACCGAAGAGTGTCAACTTACCACCCTCGGTGGAGAAGATGCGCTCGGGCTCTGGTGTTCGCAGCCACTGGAAGTCCTTGTGCAGACCATCTTCGAATGTGTACCTCTTCTCAGACCAGTAGTCGGTGTCGTCGCGCGCGCCGGGGAGGTCGACGTACAGCGACGGCACAGGACCATTTTTGACGTATAGCCAGTCGTCGTCGCCCCAGTAGGCTTCCTGGATGGCTGTCTCGCGACCCAGAACGCATCGTCGCTTCTGGCCCACAGGGCGCCCTGTGAGGTGGACAATGTACGTTCTGCCATCAGGTGTGTCGACAATATCACCGTGGCCTGAGCGCTGGAGAGCGGCGAGCGGCGCGTCCTTGGAAGTGACAATGTGCTTCTGGGGGTGCATCTCATACGGGCCCCAGATGTCACGAGAACGAGCGAGGGTAGCCGCGTGGCCGTAGCCAGTGCCACCCTCGGCTGTCAAAAGATAGTACCACCCATTGCGCTTGTACATGTGCGGTCCCTCGACAAAGGCAAGGTCTGAGCCGGCAAAGATGTTCTTGCGAGGGCCCACGAGCTTGCCGGCCTGGGGATCGAATTCCTGCAGAGCAATGCCGGTGAACAGGTGAGGACGACGACGGTGGTCCCACATCATGTTGCTGAACCACTTGCGGCCATCCTCGTCGTGGAAGAGGGAGGGGTCGAAGCCAGACGAGTTGGCATACACGGGATCCGACCAGGGACCCTCGATTGCGGGCGCGTGGACAATGTAGTTGTGTGTGTCCTTGAAGGAGCCATCCTTGCGCTTGACGTCTGTGTAGACGAGCCAAAATCTGTCGCCGTCGTGGGTCAAGCAGGGCGCCCAGATGCCGCAGCTGTCCGGGTCGCCGCGCAGGTCGGCCTGGGACTTGCGGGTTAGAGGTCGCACGACGAGCTCCCAGTTGGCGAGGTCCTTGGAGTGATGGATCTGGACGCCAGGCCACCACTCAAAGGTGGACGTAGCGATGTAGTAGTCCTCGCCGACCCTCAAGATGGAGGGGTCGGGGTTGAAGCCGGGCAGGATGGGATTGCGGACTTGAGGCATGGCGGCGATGATGGAGGGGTTAGGGCGATGCTGTTGATGCGATCAATGATGAAATGCTTGGGGAGCTGCATTTTGAATATTGACGGGCGCCAGATGACGCGAGACGTGCCTTGAATTCATCCGCAAACTGCTGTGTTGCTCCTCATGTGCCTTTTAGCCGCGATCTTTAGCCGGAGGGGTCGTGAGAAGATCCGAAGCGTCGCGGGGGATATCCGAAGCGCAGAACCCGGAGCCGAACATCGGGCCGGGGACCGACCCATATTTCCCGGCTCAGAGTCCGAACGCCGGATCCGATGGTCGTTGCCTGGCGCTGCGTTGCGATGTGGTCATCCGGGCGCGGACACACTCGAACCCATCGAGCTGCAATCGGTCTGTGGCTTGGGTTTGACATCGAGAAAGTCCCGGCGGAGCCATCGTCAGATGTGTCAACAGCCACAAGACGTGACCGACAAAACGCAGTTCGTACAAGTAGATGATGACCCGCATATCACTCTCCATCGACGAAAACAGGCTCGAAGAGCTTTGCGTTTCCATTTGGGCACTTTGAAGTATGAATACGGACCATGGCTGCTGGTATTTTCGCCTCCAGCTGCTTTGCCCGTGCCGAGAAGAGCGATGCCCGCAATCAGTCCTCACCTAACCCCGAAAACAGCCCTCTCAATGTTCGCGTACATGGACCGTTTTAAGCAATGTCGGCAAGCCAATAACCTTTTGGGGGCGACGTCCGTCCGACGATATGTTGCGAAGACCGCATACGGTCTTTTGCAATCGTCGAATGAGATAGTCTGCTCGCAGTAGCGTTTCTCGTATTATCTCACCTCACGCATTCCAGAGAGCTCTCCACGTTGAGACATTTTCAGAGAGTTGCCTCTGGCCATGCCCAGTTCCGCCAATAGAATCGAAGCTCATAGCTGTGTCTGGAATGCAGCCATTCAAGACACCCGTCATTACAGACATCGATTTTCACGAAATGGATCACCCAAGTCCTCCTGAAGCCTAGAGGATGTTTCTTCCCCAGTGCACCCGGCGCTGTTCGCTCAAAGCATAATACTCGGCCGCTTGCAGCCCCTGTCATGCCAAGAGACTACCGCTGCCCGCGGCTCCTGTCAAGACAGCCTCGGCGGGAATAAGGTTCGTCACTTACATGATTTGCATTCCGGAGAACCGCAGGCACACGCACTTCCGGAGCTTTTGCACGCCCTATCCGAATGCGGCAAGATTCTGGACAGACGCAACCGCCTTATGGCCGTTGGCGAGCCGCAGAAGAGCTTGGTAGCTCGACACTAAACCACGGAAGCTGGACACTACACAGTCGCTTTCGACCGGTTCCGGCCAGCACGATGCTTCTCTACGCTCGTGAAGGCGAAATGGAAACGGACTCTCTCTTCTCTGGAAGAGGGACGTGGAGGGGACCAAAAAGTGTATAAGAGGCAGTTCTTTGTCCCCCAACAGGTTCTTGATATCTCATCTCATTCCTCAGCCTCATCATCACATCACAGGCACTCGCACTCGCTAGCCAATCGCCTTCGACCACTCACTCGTTCACAGAGGTCTTAATCGCTTCTCGCTACCTATCCATCACCATGCGTGTTTCTACTCTCAGCTTCATGGCGGCCGCCCACGTCGCCTCGGCCCAGTTCATGAACACGACCACCACTGCCACGCCCTCCGCGACCTCGTCGTCTCAGGGCGTAGCTCCCACCAGCCCTGCTTCCATCGGACCCTTCCAGAAGTACGGCTGTGCCTCTCTGGAGAATGGCCTCAGTGGACTGGACATCGCCGCCACCAGCAACGAGATGACCCTCGAGCTGTGCGCCAGCACCTGCTTTGAGATCACAGGCACCCCCGGCTTTGGTGTTATTGGAGCGTGAGTAGAAACCCTTTTCATCACCCCCTTTCCTGTGAGACATGTTTACTAACCTGACCCCCAGCACTTGCTACTGCGGCACTCCTGGAACTCCCATCCGCTTGCCTCTGGTCTCCGAGTCCAACTGCAACTTCCCCTGCCCCGGTGACGAGACCCAGGCCTGCGGTGGCAACGGCGGTCTCCCCACTGGGGCTGCTCGCCTCCGTCGCCAGGGCCTCTCCTTCATCAGCGTTTTCATCGATCCCAACGCCGATGATGTCAGCACCACCTCGGCAGCTGCTTCGGCCACCTCCACCCCTGGATCCGGCGACGTCAACATTGACATTGACGTGGTCATCAACTGCTACGGCGACTACTGCATCAACATTGACAACAGCCAGCAGAACTGCGTCGGTGACGGCTGCCAGAACTACCACGTCGTCTGCCAGGGAGACAACTGCGAGGCCCAGGTCTGCGTCGACAACGTCAACTGCGACCAGCTCGTCGTCTGCCAGGGCTCCGAGTGCAACTTCCGCGCCTGCAAGGGTGACCAGTGCAACCAGAAGATCGAGTGCATCGGCTCCATCTGCAACATAACCAACGAGCCCCGCAAGATCGTCTGCAAGGACGACTCGTGCAAGCCCGAGATGTGCATCGAGGACTGTGGCCGCAAGGTCATCTGCTCTGGCGACGATTGCAAGACTGAGAAGCCATGCGGCTGCCCCGTCCCCAAGCCCCCTCCCGCCCAGACTACGGTCAAGCCTACCGTCAAGCCTACCGCCCAGCCTACCGCCCAGCCCCCAGCCAAGGAGACTACTGTCCCTGCCGGCAAGCCTGCCACTCCCAGCAAGCCCGCGACCCCTGCTACCCCTGGCAAGCCCGCTGCTCCTGCGAACCCAGGCAAGCCCGCGGCTCCTGCTACTCCTGAGCAGCCTGCAGCCCCTGCTGCTCCTGGCAAGCCTGCCGCTCCTGCTACCCCT